TGGGGGTGTTCCCCCATATAAATCAATAGGGTGTCCCTGGGTGAAATGTGAGGAAGAACCCTCTGGACATCAGTTGGGTCGGGTTGTTGTGTCCACCAACCACTTTCCAGGTGGTTCCTTCTTTAAACTCATGGCCATATTAATCAATTGGGAGGTGTCCCTGGGTGAAATGCGGGGAATCATCACTTTTGGGGAAAATCAGCCACTGTTTATTGATATGGGGGTGTTCCCCAAAGGTGATGTATCCCCACTAAACCCAGGGACGCCCCCCTATTCATAAGCTGGGGTTGATTATTATATATGGGGGTCAACAGTACTGCGGATGGTTGCGAGATTCTTTCGCACCACGAAGTCAATCCATGGTTGAAACCATTGTGTGTTGGCATTTGGAGAATCATCAGATTAGGCGGTGCAGGAGTTCGTCAATCCACAGTATGGACGGGTGTTAAAATTGCTTGGTGGTTCCCGGCCATCCGGTTCCTTGCGTTTTTAGTAGGTAGTGGGGGCTTCCATTCAACTACTTGCTTGGTTGGGGTCATGTTTCCTCTGAAAAACATCGCCGGAACCCAGGCAGTTGAACAGTAATCCTCATCTTCCTGGTGTGGGATTGATCGATCAATGATATTGCGAATGGACAGACTGTTGCACCAGGTGGGATGGATGAAGCCGAAAACTGCGGCACAAGCCACGTCCTGTCCATCCGCAGAATTTGTTCATGTTTAGGCTCTTTGGTGCACCACACATAGGAAAAGATCCGACCTGGAGGGGCGGGGCTTACCAAGTTTGCTCAGAAAAGAAACACGGGACAGACTAGTTCTCTCCTGTGCTTGGTGAGCATTCGGCGCCAATTTCCCCGGTGCAAGATCTGCAAATGGCCAACCTACTCAGGTACCATGGTGGGAGTGCCCGTGGTGAATCCGCTTAGTAAGGAAGTCCATGGTTTCAGCCCAGGAACGTCCCAACCAGCCACCGGAAGCCCTGCGGTTCCTCAGGTGGGGCGTCGTAGAGTCCTACGACCCCCAGATGCATCGATTCCTGGTGAGCGTGGTGCCTGAACTCAGAATGTCAGCGTGCCTGCCTCACTTCTTACATGAGGGAACCCCTCTCAACAAAATGTGGTTTCCTGTTGGTTTCCCTTGAAATGAGCCAAACGTGTTTTTCTCAAAACAGCACCCAGTTGCGCGGGTGGGTTGCAGGTGTTCTGCGGTGGAATCCGATTAGTTATCTAGAACTGTTTCAAATCCCCCCCAATCCCACCAACTGAGGGTTGCCTCGCCAAGTGGGCAAGCGACAACATTCTTTCCGCATCTTTTACTGGGATCTCTTTGGAAGTTGCTTCACATCACGGTTCAACAAACAGTTGTGGGGAAGCTTTGGGGGTGTGGCGGGGCTGGGATTTTGTTTGAGATTGATTCACAATGCTTCAAATTTCAAAGCCTCAATACATAGTACAGATGCATCAGAATCACACATAGTGTCGCGGCCTGACAAATAGTCCCCGTGATTACAGCAAGCCCGCTCCTTGAATCTCTTCACCAAGACTATTTGCCTGTTTCAGACAAGGTTGGCAAGTGGGAACCTTCCCCAACCAGCCCCTAAAACAAGAAGAACAAAGACAACATCGATTTCAATAGCTATTGCGAGTACTTGTTCCGATTTGACTGTTGTCGTTGTTCCAGGGGTTGACGCAGCAGATCTAAAGAAGCAGCTGTCCCGAAACAGCAAGTCAAACCTCGGCTTTTTGATTGAGAAGTCAAGGTTGGACATGCTCACAGAGGGTTCCCCCGTAAAGGCACAACCCCTGATCATGGCGCTCTCCAGCGCACAAATAAAGCGCAAGTTCCTTTCACTTTCTTCTTGCGGTCCGATTGGCCGGGAGAGGACCGGAGAGAATCCAGGTCCGAAGCACGCGTAGACAACTTTGTTGATTCGGCTCAGATGCTGATTGCGAAGGTGTCTGACTGAACCACTCCCTTCGGTTGGTTTCAAAGGTCCAAGCCCTCAGATGGGTTGGTTTCTGGGTGTCTCCCGGCTTTGTGGGCATGAGAATGCTGACCCCATATTAATAAACCCGTTTTTTTTTTGTATGGGGGTGTTCCCCTCCAAAAGTGATGATTATCCACTAAACCCCGGTGATTAGTATGGGGTCAGCACGAATGGTTGGTTTCCCACTGGCTTCTCCAAGCCAGGTGCTGCCGAGCCAGGCGCCCCATGAGCCACCGCTGCTGGCCAAGCTCAGGCCGGACATGGAAGGGGTGCAAAGGCCGGAAAAATGGGGTCTGGCGGCCTGCTGGGCCCCAGAAAAAATGCCCAAGCGGCATCCGTTTGGAGAAACGGGTGAGGTTTGGTCCTGAGTTTCCCTTGAGTTTCCCTTTCCACACCAGCTATGCATTTCTTTGGGGTTGGAAGCCTTTGGCTTTGGCTTCTTTTTTTTCCGGAGTTTCGGGACATGAGTCACTGATTAAGCCCAAGTTTGGTCAACCAAAAGCGTTTTCAGACTTGAAGTGAGGGCACCATCTCCCAAACTGAGGCGGGAGAACTTGCTGTTGCTCGGCCGGGGCGCTGGAGAGATGAGAGCGTGGAGCAAAACCCAGGCGTCGAAAGTAAGCTGCACATGTGTGTGTGTGTGCTTTTTGAGTGTACAGGGTCCCCCCTTGTGTTTTTTTTTTTTTGGGGGGGGGGAGGGGTAAGGGAAACCACAAGGAAAACGAAAAGTTTGTCGGGTCCCCCCTCATGCACTGCTTGTTCTATTTGTGGCTATGAAGATGCGACTGCCAACATGATGATTGCTGTGTGTTTTTGATGGCCCTAATGTGGGGACAGTTATTTGCATGCTTGCATGAAATTTAGGATCTCGTGCCAATCATTGAAGGGGACCGCAGCTTTGCATCAACCTGAAACCTGCATGAACGGGCCAAATTCTTATTTCAAGGGGGCCCCCCCGCAAGCACGACGGAAGGACAGTGCTTGGGTCAACATTGCCTTGGGCACGGAGAATCTAGCTTTCACAGCGGTCGGGTTCGACACAGTTCCACGGTTGGGCAACTTGATTTGCCGCTTGCGTGAATGACAGCCGAAGTAAAGGGCATGCGTTTCAGCAACCAGGTCCGCACTTTTAAAGGGCAACATTTCAAAAGGAGGTGGTTGCAACCACATGTGTTTGAACTTGTTCAAACATTTGCTTGAATTGCCCCACCCATGGTGTTTTTGTTTGGTTATGTCTTCTTGAGCAGTCTCATTTGGAGCCTTGGAAATTGGAAGCCGGGAGCCTAACCTGTCAGGTTTGGAAAAAAACAAATGGAGGCCTGGCAAAGCTGATGATTTGTTTGAGCTCTTGCAACCTTTGCTTGAGAGCTGTGATTCACACCTCGCTTCAAAATTTGGACACCGCAAGGATTTGAGCGCCCTGCCAAGGCTTCCCTTTTCCAGGGCCAGGAGTTGAGGAATTTTTCATTTTTGGGACACCCAAAACATGAGAGTGGGACCTGGGAGGCTGAGGTTTCTACACAGCTAGCATGTCAACTTGGTCTTTGTCCTGTTGATCCTTTCTTTAATTCTAAGCAAGCCGGAAATTCCACAGGAGATCCCCTGGTTTTGTTTCGGGTCTTTGGGCCGATTTGGTGCTTGAAGTTCCTGTGGCGAACCTTTCGGAGCCGGCTAAGGCCCCGATGCCCAGGTGCCCCCCCATGCCTTCTGCGGGGATTGAAGGGGCCTGGGGGGGGGTTTCCACTTTTGTGCAAAGGATGCGTCTTGGGGTCGAACATGACATCTTTTTTTTTTTTGGGGGGGGGTTATGAGATGACCTTGCGTTCTTGCTTGAAGGGGGTTATTCTCTTCGAATCAGGAGGGTGTCGAACATCAGGTGGATTGTCCGCTGAATTGGGTCACCGCACCCCCACTTGCAAAGGTGCAATCCGAGCCCCCTGAAAAATCGGATTGTGAGAGGGGAGGGTGTCCGATCTGAGAACTCTCCGTGTATAGATTGATTTTCCCACTGGGAAGGTGGTTGAACAGGGGGACACACCACCCCCTGCTATGTAAGGGGGACAATTTGCATGGATTCCGAGAAGGAAAAAAAGGTTCCAGCATAGATTCGATTGGATCACTGGGGTGATGTTGCTGGCTCCACGTGATTTTTCCGGGTATGTTCCATTGCGCCTTTATCGTGGACACTTTTCCTGGCAGAGCATCCAATCAAAGGATCTGTTTTCTTAAGGTAGCGAGAGGCAGTGGGGTTCGACCGCAGGCTTTGCCCCTTGCAGGAAACTGCTCTGCATGGGTGCAACAGCCAAGTGGCAAATAGATCGTTATAGTTAAGACCTCAGCTGGAACAACAAGGGTATAAGGCAAAGCTGGTTTTGACTGCGCCACGTGTGCGCTGTCATGGCTCGAGCTCGAATTATATAATCTTATCTTTGTAGTGTCTTGCCCAGAGGCACAACACGGCGCATAGAAGAAGAAGACGCCTTCTGTTCCGGGGATATTTTGACAGGTGTCCAGGTGTCCAGTTCCATTTCAGAACTCGCCATACCAACTTTGGAGAAGCCAGGGTTCCATTTGACCAATTCCGCCCCCGGCTTCAGTTTCGCGCTGGCGCGAAAACACGTGGTACCCAACAGGCTGAAGCCCCACACCCGAGCCATCGATTTGCCCAAATTGGGCGGAGTAAAGCTCACCGTTGGGGTTCTCTGCAGGTTTTCAGGTACTGGAAACAAGTATATGTCGATCCACTCGAGTTTTGAAGTACCGTAAACAAAATGAAGGATGCATGCGAGCTTTGTTTGGGATTCACATTTCCTCGTGGTTTCTGAAAAGCAGCAATTTACATTTTAGAAGCGGGGGCAGAAGCCAACATAAGGCCCTGCCTAAGGCAGAAGCAAACACATCACGAGCTCATGAGAAATAGGGTGTGTTGCACCCAGAGTTCACTCAAGCTTCCCTTGCCGAGTTTATACGAAAGGATCAGCCACGTGCGAGGCTGGTATGCTTTGAGCGTAGCAATGGCAATGGGGGTCACATACGACCAGCAGGCCATCGAGGGCATTTGCAGCCGGCTTCGAGCATCTTGACGCAAGCGCAGGCACTATCAGAGGCCTTTTTCGAACATCATGCCAAGTGCGGATGAATGAACCCGGTGGATAGGTTCAAAAAGATTTGAATCTTCGCCAAACCGTGATAGATCCTTGGGCAACATGACCGATTCTTGAGAGCTTTTGGCTGGGTGGCGTTCAACCCGCTCTGACCCTGGATCAAGCCCTGGTTGGTCAGTTGGGGTGTTCAAGTGTAGAGGCAAACTGGCGCTTTCGGAGAAGACCCCCCGCCTATAAGTCCGCGTTGATTCTTTCAGGGGCAACTTGCCTTAAGTTGATCCGCGGGGGTATGCTCTTGCATAGTTTTACTGGCTTGAACTGTCCCAACCCCGCGCTCCCCCCATCCCATTTAAGACCCCGGATCTCAGCTTCTGCTCACTGCCTGAGCTCCTGGACTTCAGTCACTGTATCAGTCTGGGCATGGGGCAATTTGTGTGGCAAACGAGCTTGGACTTCTCTTTGTTGCATGGTGCTTGGATGTCAGGACTTTAGCTTTTTGCCAACTAGTGGGTTTTTCCATCACTAAAACTTAAACTTGTAGCAGGGGAGCAGAAAGCAACCGAGTTCTTTTATGCACTCGAGTGAGCCAAAGGCTCTTGGGGTTTCCGTCGCTTTCCGACTCCTGGGTTTTGAAATGGGGGTGGCGGAGCCAGGTGCTGGTGCAAGACTCCTTCCAGCAGCTCGGCGGAAGTTTGCTATTTATCTAGTGGGGCTGACTTTAGGTCAACCCGGGTGCCGCCCAGGGCCCCCCGCCCCCCCCCAGAGAAAGAGAGGGTACACATCCATTTCCATGTTTGGTGGATAGCAACCTGATGTTTCCACGCGAAATGGGACACACTGTTATTTTTAAGCTCGTTTGTCGCAAGGGTGTACTTGACCTGTGAAAAGGGTCCTTCCCTACGTGCCTTTCATGGAAACGGATCGGTCAACGCCAAGTTAAGGATATGCCCCAACACTTGCTCTTTGGTGTGACCTTGAAGGCCCCTTGTATCCTTTGAGGATGGGTTTTTTAGCAGTTGAAAGTGGTCATTTGGCATCTAGCGTGCTAAGGGAGCCTCAGGGTACATGGTACCAACTCGCACGAAAAGGCCGGCCAGTGGAGTCCCGTTGCCTACGAACTCTGCAAGTTGACTAAAAGGGCCTCAAGGAATTCCTCTACAAGGGTGTTGCGTTCCATATCAATTCTTGCAGTGATTGGGGTGTACAAGGTTAGCCTCGTCAAGGAGTCAAGCGCCAAGGAAGCACCTCTACGTCTCCGCCATCTTTTTCGCTGACCAACTGGTAGCGCTGAAGCAGGAGCCGGAGGAGATATACACCCTGGCGGAGTGCTATTTCAAGAATCGGGAGTACAGAGGCTTATTTGCAAGAGACGGTTGGTGCCGCGTAGCAACCGTTCGTTGTGCATTGAATGGGGGCGAACTTGCCCAAAGCAAGGAAGAGGGGGGGGAAACAGAACAGGGGACTGTGGCAGTGCATGTTTCCATGTTTTTGTGGGATCTGTTTAATTTGCAGTCTTTCCTATTGTCTGCGTGGGATATGTGCAATCAGTTTTTTTTGTTGCTCTAATGCATTTATTTGACGAGAAAAACACAACTTAAACACGCAAACAATAGGAAACCAATCCTCGGACAGTCTTTCCACTGGATCAGCCTGCCCAGGGCCCTTAACCCGGAAGCCCAAAACCTTGAGAACACCAACAAAACCAACACAAATCAAAACAACAACTACATTCTTCAGAAACTGTTTCAGTGCCAAGAGTTCTGGGAGAATGTGATGTTTGTTTGTTTTTGTGCTTTGTGGTTTAGATGTTTCTATCTTTTTCGAGGTTGTATTTGGTTTTTGCTTTTGGGCAGGGCTGATCCAGTGCATGTGATTTTAGTGCAATGAATTCCTACTAAAAAAACATATATGTTTTGCTAACATGTGAACTGAAAGGACATCCTGTGTAAAGTCTGATTTGTCATAAGATACATCTTATTTAGACACTAATTTATGACATACATGTTGATTGGATTCGTTCCTGGCCAAATTCTGTCTAAAAAACTAGTTGAATTGTAAAGTTCTATTTAGGCAAAGGATTTCTACCAACAATTGCATTAATGACATATCCAGTAGGATTCGGAACGCACTTATCCTTATTGAGTCCTATTCGAGTTTCATACAAATTCTGAGATTTAGAGAGCGGCCGTTGGCGGCGATGTGAATAGATTGCCCCGGCTTCGAAGATCCATGTTCGCGTTGGGTCAAGGACGCGTTCTGCACCTGCTGAAGAAGCCGCTTGGACGAGCCGTTCATTTTGCAATCGTCACAGGATGGCAACTATCGGATTCACGCACTGGCTGTCGGGCGAGGCAGATGTACGACCATAAGGTCACGACATCCTAAGAATCTCCGTTTCAATTGAAAGCACTTCACTTCCAACAGATCACCAGGTGTGCGTGCTTCGCCAGAAACGTGGGTGTAGGCAGGCCAGGGAGACAATGAAAAGATATCCATACAACCGGCAGCCACTAGAACTCGCCATTTCAACAAACGCCTTTCATAGCATAGAAACCGTCGCTCACACAAACCGGTTCTATCATGTGGTTATTTTATCAGTATCTGACAATTTTGATTGAACGGTCCCTGGCGCCTGAGGCCCCTGAGGCCCCACGTCCCCGAAGCCGCGCGGGGCTCGCTCGCGGATCGCGGATCGCGGATCGAGGCACAGCGCCACCACGGAGCGCAGCGATCAGCTGAAGCTGCTGGTGGCCCAGAGCCTCATGGAGTGCCGGGACTGGGAAGCTCCGCGGCGGCAGGCGCTTTGCGCGGCTCCACCTCGTGGCAAACACCTCTCGGTTCTTCAGTGCCAATAGTGCCGCCCTTTTTCCCCCAGTTTCTTTTAAGTGGCTGCCCCACGAAGCATGGGTTTTTGCCCAAAAGGGTTCCCTTTTTTTCCAGGGTCACTGAGCAACTGAGACCTCGTGGTGGGCCTGGGAAGGCGAACTGATCAAGCGATCGGTGCGAGGGAAGGATAAATGGAATGAACTCAAGGGTCCCCTTAAAGGAAGCCACGAGTTCAAGTTGGTTTAGAGGGGTCATTCCATTTCTCATTCCCTGCAGCTCTCGCACCAGCAAGTAATGTAAGGGCCTAAAGAACTACAAGTTGTTTACTCCTTTGACAAGGTTTGGCTTGGCACCCCGAAACTTCGACCTGGGTCCAAGGCACGTTTTGCACCAGGCATGTTTGAACAGGGCCCCTCGAAGGCGTTTGATAAGGCAACCCCAGTGTCATGAAGTTCCTCAAGTTCCCCCCCCGGCCCCAGAAGCAAACACGGTGTTCCCCCAAATGTATTTTGTTTGGGGGCAAATCAATTTTAGTTGGAAGGGAGTAGCGTGCAAGCCCCACAGGAGCTAGCCCCAGCTGTGACAATCCTGTTGGAGCAGCACCCAGCCCAAGCCCTTTTTGTCCAGCGCGTTTTCTCCGGGATTCTTGGTGCTGGCCATAGAGAGTCTGAGGTACAGTCACAGTCTGTTGGCCGGGTCTTGTTCGCTGCACCTCAAGCATGGTACGTCTGGCGAAATGCTGTCCAGGTCAGTTCGCCATCGTGCGAAATGTTTTTTTTTTTTTTTTTTTTTTTTTTTTTTTTTGGTCATCCTTCAGGCGCTTGTTCAATTTTGCCCAGTTAAAATCATGCCCACCCCTGGGGAGTTGTGCTTCTGCTTGCCAGAAATTCGATGTTTAACTCTTTTGCAAACTGAACTCGAGGGTTGCCAACAACTTGGGACGCACATGATTTAGTTGGTCTAATTTGCATTTTGTAACCATCCAGGTTGGGAATCCTCAATGTTGGGAATTCCCAGTGGAACTTTGGCTTAAATTCCTTTGGATTGCCTATTCGTAGGGGTGCAGGTTTCCTCAAACCACTCATAGTGGTTTCCCCATCTTAGGTTCCGTTGCTACGAATCCTCCTGGAAAAAATGGAGCACACCGCATGGGAAGCACTAGACTCCCAGACCATTCTCTGCATGCATAGCCGTTTTGGGTTTGAAGTCATGTTGCCCATAGGTAACCCCCGTACTCCCACACATCCTTGACGCGTGAAGTATGTATTGGGATGCTTTGTGCTTGAAGTCCTTTGGAAAGGCAACACAATTACTCTTGCAGTCTTCCGCCTATGTCCACAATCTTGGGCGTGCCCTGCCAAGGATGCGCTCAGGCTGGCTCGGGGTTTGTTGCCACAGCCGTGAGGCGTCGTTTGCGGACGGCATTTGGGATGTCTTGAATTAGGTACTGGAAACCCTTGTTTCGTGGTTTGGATTTGTGGTTTTGGCGATTCGTCCAAACCGCCAATTAGGGGGAAGCTCATTGAAATAGCGCCCCGGTTGGGTAGAGGGGTCCCAATGAGAGGGACCCCTTGACTGATTCGAGATGAAGCACGCTTCTTAATCCAGCAGCTTGAGATTTGTTCAGGGTTGAAATCAGGGATGATTTACATCCATAATGGCCTCAAGCTGAGCAAGCAACAATCGCACCACACAGCAATCCAATTGATGAAGGTGTTGATTCCTATATCCCGACCCATCCTTTTGTGTTGGATGGTTTCTGATTGCCCCACGCAGGTTGCTCTATTTTTCAGCCGGGCACTTGCAGTCTTTGTTGACACCAATCGCCCTCTTCCAGACATGCAGCCAAGGGACCCAGATTTGCGATTGCAGTCATGAGGTGGGTGTTAGCAAGCTAGCTTTCTACCGGGGTCTCCTCCACAACTATTCTACATTTCGTAGCGAGAAGCGACATATCGTTACCAGGTCTGGATGCCCAGATGGCCCCCCCAGGTTCTCGGAACCCTTCGGTCAGGAATTCTTAGAAGGCTCTAAGAGCTCTTCCTGGGAGGGGGGCGCTAGTGTGTCGTTTTTCTTGTTTTAATTTGCTGACAAAGTAAGAACCCAGAGGGTGCCGAAGAGTAAAGTTTGAGGACACTGGGGTGAACAGGTACCCTTGAACATCCGGCGCCGTTTGTTGGCGGTGGCTGGGCAAAGCTTGAAAGCCCCAAATTCAACAAGAGAGAGGTTTGCATTTTGTTGTCCTCATGTACGAAGGCAGATAAGGCAGGTTCCATTGGCAAAGCCTCCGTGCCGCAGATACCTGGAAACCAACTGGCCGGAGGACGACGGAGCTTCAGATCCGCCCCTCGGAGCCATGGGCCCCTGAAAGGATGCTTTTGCGCCAAGTGACAAGCAATGTGTGCCAGCAGACTTTGGAGATCTTTTTGTAAAGCAGGTAGTTTTTGGGATGGATCCGTTAAGGAACTCCTGTCATGGTTGCTTGGTTGTTAGCGGTTCCTTAGGGGTATGAGCCGTAGTGCAAGCCAATCAGGACGCTTTTTGCCAAGACGCCAGCACACCTCACACCAGTGCCCACCAGGGACGAGGGAGGGAACCCAGCCACAAATGGCGGCGGTGCCGAGAGAAGAACTGATTCCGGCTTACAGCTAAACCAACGAATGAGTAAATCAATTGGCAGGCACAGTAGGCAGCTTGCAAAGAAGCTGAGACCTCATGGTTTTGCCTGAGATTTCGGCCTGGGAATAGTAATTAAGTGATGGGCCCGGGTTTCATGTTGTTTTTTTCTTCCGAGCCTTGGCAGTTCACCAGCCCCGATGCAGCCCCCGATGGACCAGGGACTCCGGCAAGAGCCAGCTGGTGCTCAGAGAATTCCAAGGGTTCTGGGAATGAACCATTTGGATTCCCCTTAAATCTAAACAGTAGGTTATAGCTGCCCCCCCAAAAAGAAGATGGATAGTAAGAACAAATGGTGCTGCCCAAGACTTTGATTTCACCATCCTTTGCTAAAGACGAGTGCCCTCGTTCCCAGGAAGTCGGCGGCCTGTTTGGCGCTGCTCCGGGGCAAGGTTTACGAAGCCATGGAGAATCTGGAGCCGCGTCGTCTTTTTTGTGGCGAGAGTTCCGGTAGACGGGTGACCCCTAATTGGTGATTTGGATTGTTGGTTTGGGGATTTGAACCCCGGTTCCTTTTGAAACCAAATGGGGAAGGCAGCCCCAAAGCGTCCAAACCACCACCAATGAGCAAAAAGCTGACGTAGGACGTCCAAAAACCAACAGGAGGTCCGGAAAATCAAAGCATGACCCATTTGCTTTAGGCTTCCCTTCGGACAAACAGCAAGGATGGTGGGGGGGGGGCCGAATCTAAGTAGAAGCCCTGATTGAGTTTCATCAGGGGGGTGTCCCTTTTTGCGGGAATCTGGATCTGTCTTGGAGGGGAGCCCCCTCGACTCCCGAAGCCGTTCCCCTCCCTAGTTGTTTGGAGGCGGCTTCGTGTGTTTTCGGGTTCCTGGATGGACGCCAGCAAAAGTTGGAGAACGTCTGAGGGCAACTTGCCATGAGTTTGGAGGACCCGAATCCCCTCCGACCCAAATCCCCCTGCCCCTAGTTTGCTCCATCCGGCCTCGTTATAGGGCTTTGGAGAAGCAAAGGGGGGAGGTTACAGTAGGGGAGTGGGAGGGTTGTATCCTAAGAGCAATTCGACGCACGTGGTTCTTGCTGCATGCTGCTTTCAGGAGAACGCGCTGATGAGCCTCGGCGAGACTCCATAGGCCGTAGGCAACTCTAGGAGGACTGCCCAACGAGTGAAGGATTTAGCTGAAAGGCGCACTCTTTGAAATGCAACATTGTTTGAGGGGAGATCCACGGATTTCTAGTGAAGGTATTCTCTGTCCTGGTATCCCCTGGGAGCGGAGTAGATTTGCAGAGTACCTCAGCGAAGACGCATACTGCTTCAACGTCAGGGCTAAACCAAGGGCCCTCTGCACATGGGAAGTGTGCATATGCATTCCACTCCAGCCACCCGCAGGGGAGCCACATGGCACTGGACCGCTATTGCTTCATGGAACCAGTAGGTTACCTTGAGGGGCAGGGGTGTGTGATGAGGGTTTTTCGGGCGGTGGTCACGACTTGGGTGAGAAAAAGTGTGATCCTGCAGACGGTGGGTTATGCTGGGCAAATTGTTGCATCTGCTTTATAATTCATTGGAAATGGCTTGCATCCATCCCAACTGCTGGATTTGTCTATTGTACCACATCCATGGCAATATTGTGTCAATGGGCCTGTGGTTTTTTGAGGAAACCCTCCTCGGGGTGGTGTGTTTTTGTTTGTTTCTGTTTTTCTCCACCCCTCCGCCTACTCTAAACCACAGGAACACCGCACTTTGGGCGCAAAAGACACCCAAATCCCGGGTTCCCCTCCCCCCTCCCATGTTTCACTCAGGTGGTACGAGAAGGCGGCCCAGCTGGACGCCTACTGCCACGAAGCGCTGGAGCGCTTGGCCCGGGCACTCGGAGAAACTTTCGTCCCCACGGCGGGGGGGGGGGGGGGCTCCTTGGTTCGGCTCGGCGACGCTGTTAGCTTGCGGAAACCGTCTACATGGCCATGAACTTTAGTAGGGAAGCACCTCAAAAGTGATTGGATTTGGTATTTATGTTGGGGAATCGAGTGACAAACCAGGGTTTCTGAACCGTGGTGCGATTTCCGGATTTCGCAACCTTCCACAGCACGGCAGGGGTCAAAGGTCAAAGTGCATCCTAATTGGTCTAGCGTTTTTTCTGGCACCGCTTTTGGCTTGAAATCGTTTCATAATATCGACAGGGTCCAAGTACATCACTCAGTTGCCCAAAGCGAATCGACCGGATCTGACCTTTTCATTTTTCCATTTTGGCCCATAGTCAAGGTCACAAAATTGGTTCACCTTTTATATCCAGGCCCGGGCAAGTGAGCTAAAGGTACTTGGACCGAGGGACTGCTGGTGTTCTGACTTCCGTTTTGCGCCTCCTCACTTCGGAGTGCTCTTAGGTTGGTAGCCACCGACTCACTCTTGAGCGCGCCGCTTGGCAAGGTGGCTTTGAACCTTGAGCATTGCCGACATGCCAGTTGGACACTTTGAAACGATCAGTACCTTTGTTGCCTTCCAGGCTGGGGCAACATGTGTGTAGACAGGCATGTACGTTTGTCGCTGGTTGGATGGTCAAGTGATACCTGAATGATACCCGAACAATTCCCAGAATAAAGCCCTTCAGGAGTTCTGCAAAACACTGCAGAGCGATAGGGGCCTTGCAAAGCTGAAGCGCAAAATTAGGACAGCCCTTTGGCCCCAAGTGTTTGCAAGCGGCAGGGCAAGTGGTTTTGGAGGGAAGGGGCCCAGATACCCAGTGGTGCATTGCATGTTTTCCATTGTTTTGGAGGGGTCAAAGCCAACCAGCCCCAAAGAAAGGGGCAAACCCTTTTCCGCGTCCCTCAAATGATGCATCTGGCCCTCACTTTTAGCAGCGGAAAAAAGTACGAGCCCCTGGTGAAGCCACTGGTTGGGTGCATCCTTCACCGGAACCTGCTTCTTTCATGGGAACTCACTGAGCACCGCGCCAAGGAGATCGCGCTCCTCAAGAGCTTGAAGCTCCACAAGGAAGATGCCCCTCGGACCCCTTGGATTCGGATGAACTCGTGCCCCGGTCGTTTTGCAGGCGCTTTCAGTGGCCAGGCGTCGTTTTCGCCACAGAGGGGCGTCCTTTGGTATGTTCTATTGAGGTACCACGAGCCCATTTTAACCCGCCAAAATAACATCCTCAACTTATACCAGGGGTCCTTGGGCACCTTCATTTTCTCTTGTCCACAGCGAGTCTTCAAGTTTTGGTCCACTCGTCTGGGCGAGTGTCTGGAAGAAACGGCCGGCAAGAAGCGGAGAAGACATGATCTGAACATACCATATATGAGAATGAGAAAAGGTTGCGATGCTCCAGCCGTCTTCCTTCTTCCTTTCCTGACGGGCAAGCCTGCCAGAGTGAACACCTCAACAACACCTTTTCCATGCCCTTGCCATGCCTTTAACTGGCCAAAGGGATAGCACCCCAGACACAAACATGGAACCGGAATCCCCCCTAGTCCATGTTGGTGGACAGGAGGGTATGCTTGTCTTCCGTCTTCTGTCTGGAGATTCCAACCTCCCCGCTGTCGCCTCGTGAGTTCCCTCCGAACGTTTCACGCCTGTCAGATTCAACCTCCCCAGACGCTCCTGCAGCTTCCAATGGACGACCCCAGACCCTCCATTGAAGCGTCTGGGGATCTGAGGAGTGGCTGCGGCATCTTTATGCAGCGCCTTGGGAGCAGCCGCACGATTCTTTTCGCCCTGGAGTGGTGCCTTCTTTCCTTTTGTTTCGAGGGGTCCCTGGTAAAAGTCAACCACCCCAAGGGGTTTCCCTCTTTTTCCATGGCCACTGTCTTTTTTCATGGGGACAGACTTGAATATGATCTCTCCATGCCTTCCACAAAGTGACAAGCAGAGAACAATTTTAGTTGCTCGATTTGGTCGTGTATGAATTGTGGAATACTCTGCATGCTCCATTCGACCCTGCCAGGTGCGTTCAATTGGTTAACCTGCGATGCCATTGGGTCGCGCGCGGGGTGCTGTCATTTTGTCAAGCTTTCTTTCAAGAAAAACAGGGGTCTTCCCATGATTGTCAGAGCATTGAGCCTTTGATGTGTGGCCAGACCGGGGTAGAACCAGGACACGTGATGCGTGAGTATACTGATGGGGCAGCACAGGGATGCTTGATGCGAGTGTATACTGTGCATGCAGCATGCACTGATGCAGCTACATGCGATGACGCCCTAATACATGATTCGGATCCCTTTCCGGTTCTGTTTGCTTATGTTTACAATGGTTCAAGCCAGGAATCATGCTGAACTACCTGGTGCCTCTCTGAGCCTCAACGAAGCCGCACATTCTATGACGACCCTTTGCCCAGCACTCTTTCTGAACATTGTGTAAGCAAACCAATATAGGATCGCTTTTGCTGGCTGGATGCAGTCTCCGGTAGTGCCCTCACACCTTGCTCTTGCTTATGCCCAGGATTTCGGATGTGGACAATGTCGCAGTGGCCCTTGTCAACTGACCTTTTTTTTGCGATAGATAGCCGCTGTGCACACAGTATGAAAGGGAAAACGTGTTGCTTCCTTGCTGGGATCACTGCCCCACAGGGCTCGGTTTCAAGGGCCGGGCAACTTTCCGCCCCATGACTTGTTAGCTGCCCATAAAAGGGGCCAGACAGGGATGGATATTTTGTGCATTTTTCCAGGCTCAATATGTAGCACGTGGTTTTTGTTTCCTGGCTTTCCTAAACATGTGCCGAAGTGGCCGAGGTGCACATGGTGTAGCCTGGCGATTCGATGCCTTTCCGAGGCAAAGCTGGCAGCCAACCGCAGTAGCAATGAGAACCCGCTGGAGGCTGAGCCATTGGCCTGATCGACCCCACCTAAGCCATTCCGACCGCTGGCACAGGATAGTTGTTGTTGTTTCCGCATCTGATTTCGAGAGATTCACCCAAAACGATGCAAAAGCGGAGAGAGAGAGAGAAAAAGAGAGAGAGAGAGATGCTTGTCTCACAGGGTGCCTGCATGGATTCCGCGCAAATTACTGCAACCCCCAGCAAGAAATAAGGGACCCCTTACTAAATGACCTTAATCACTGATGAGCTCAACCTGCGGGTGAGCTCGTTAAAATTTGACCAAATTATTTTTCCGCGAGTTGGCAGCTTACTTCAGAAGCGATGTTTGTTGCATGCTTGTCGCTGCCCGTTTTGGATCAGCTTACTCACCAACTTAACGGGACCCGACGATGCCAAGCTCTCAAGGCCCATTACAAAGACCCCAAGAACTTGTGCATATCCTTTGCTCTCTCTCTCTCTCTCCCTCCCTCCCTCCCTCTCTCTCTCTCTCTCTCTCTTTCTCTCTCTCTCTCTCTCTCTCTCTCCCTCCTTCTCAGCACCCACCTGAAAATAGGCATCCCAAGCTAAGAACAGATACCTCGCAGGTCAGATGTTGTAAGTGGTTCGCTCACACCATGTCGTGTCAACTTAACGGGCCCGCGGTGACGAAGGAAAGCGCAACCCGTTGCAGGGCTTCCACTTGTCTTTCGGCCGTCGCCTGTCACAGCCCTTCTTAACCAGCCAGGGGTCCATTACTCCCCGGGTTCCGATTGAGAGGAACAAGGACGCTTCACATGGTGTTTCTTCATGGTTTCCGAGCCCCCAACCCCCACCCAAAAAGAAACACACGCCCCAAGTGGGTCAACCAATTCACCACGGAGCACGTGGTTTTGGCCGGCGCCTTTCCGCGCAGGCCAGCGCAGAAGGCGGGGCTTGGGGGCTTGGGAGGCCTGGGAGGCTTGCGGAGGGTGCGGGCCACGACTCCAAATCGACACAAAACCACCAGTCTTGGGACACAAGCCATGTAGGTGGGCTGTTGGTTGAAGTGTAGCAAGGAGGAGGGGAGCGGAAGGGGAGGGGGAGGGGAGGCCTGCGGAATGAGAGAATGCGGTTGGGATCGGTTGGGTACTTTGAAACCAAAGTTCCCCATGGCGTAAGGATAATTGCAAGTATTTAACTCTCTTGTGTTCGTCTTCTTGGGGGCGTTTTCGAGGGGTGTCCTACCCCCACCAAAAAGCAGCTCTGTGGTGTGTTATTCCTTTGTCATGTTCCAGTATGTCGTTAGAAGGTGTTTGTGCCTATATTCTGGTGCCAACTTTGGGGGATGGGGCTTTCCCAATCCCGTCAAGATATTGCGTTATCACCCCGCACAATCCCCAAACGCACAACCTGTGAAGCATACTCAAAGGAAACATTAGAGATGTTTGGGGCGGGGTGGTGGCGCCAGGTGTATGATTGAAACAGCTTCCCATTCCCCCTCAAGTTTTAGAACAGGGTTCTGAGGGTACTTTCCCGATCACCTTCGCTGACCGACAGTTGAACATCTCTTGGACCCCATGGATTCAGGCTAATTGCCGGGAAGTATCCATGCGAAAGTGCCCCGGCGTGCAGGTGCGACAGTCCTGGGAGACTGGAAGCGCGACAGGAGTGGGAGAGCCGACGGCTGTTGCGCACGGAGACATGTGGGTGCCAGTAGCCTTGTGTTAGAATAGCCTTTGAACTTGAAAGGGAAACAAAAGGCAACCCACCCAAGTCAAGGGTTACCCTGTTTTGAGATCAACCGTCTAAATTTCCGAAAAATGGAACCAAATGCGGCTGCCCTAGGCACCTGGAAGTAATACTTGATGTTGGTCTCGCCGAGCTAGCCCTTGATTCGGCCACAGGGCCAAGCGCCCCCCGGGGGCGCCCAGAAAGGGGGGGTTTGGGTACCTCCAAGTGTGTGGGGCCATCCGTGCGCCCGAAAGGCACATGCAAGTTTTTCCGGTCCCTGGAAAGGCACCCCTCCCAGTCCCACGTTGGGCGATGCCCGGCCATGCGCCAAGTCTCGGGGTACCTCCTCGAGGAAGTTTTTGGACGGGGGCGGAATTCCACAGGGATGCTCGATGATCTTCGTGGGGCCGGAAGCCTTCGAAGCTGAACCGAGCTAGTCCACCGAGTGACTGTTTATAGACATGTATGTAAATATATATATATATATATAAATATGTTCAATTATATATATATATACATACACACGTGCGTGTTTGGGTTGAGTGGACACTCACACGACATTTCTTGGTCAGTCCAATTTCACTTCAGAAGAACAGTTATAGGTTATGGCTGTTTTCGGCGCGCGTTCCTGTGAGCGCGCATGCAACGTAGGCTTGGCCGACAGGCTCAGCTCTTTGAACTTGAGCTGGCCGTTTCTGTAAATCTAGACGCGGCCAGGGCACCGTTGTAAGTGTGAGTTCTGGTCCGGTGCGTGCTGGCATTTTGTTTCCAATGTCTGGTGACAACCCCTGCGCTCCAGCCATGTCTTTCTAATGGCACCCCTCCCCAAAGATCAGTCTGGGGCCTGGGTTCGTAAAGGCCGGGGAGACAGCAATCCGTTGCCAGGGGAACTGACCTGTTTGCCCTTTACTCCTGTGCCGCTGTGTGTTTCCTTCATTCTGCCTTGTAACCAGGAAATCAGGGTCTATCAGTCTGGCGATGCATCTGCGAAAATGGGCACGAGAAAAGGCTCGCTTTTCGCGCGGCTCTTGCAGCCCCCGCAGGAGGCAGAACTTGCGACAAGGAGGCAGGGGCTTACCGCGCTGTAGCTCCTTTACTTGGGAGAATTTGGGCGCCGTGCTGTCGTGCTCCACCAAGGGGCCAGCATGAACTCAACGAAACACAGAGCAGACGTCCTTCGAACATTCCTTGCACTAGCACGGCCCAAGACACTTCGTTTCTCTCTCTCTCTCTCTCTCTCCCTCCCTCCCTCCCTCCCTCCCTCCCTCCCTCCCTCCCTCTCTCTCTCTTTTGCACAGGAGGTTTGAACCTGTTGCCTTCTTGTCTTCATAAGCTTTGGGTGGGCCGGAAACTAGAAACTAGAATGTGTTCCCGTTGGGGCAGGGCTTGTGTGCATTGCCAAAAAGACGGGCACCAGGGCCAACTGAAAGAAGTCATGGCCATCACGTTCACGAGCCCATCAAAAGTGAACCCAGGGTCATTTGAGCCCAGAAAAGGCGGGTTTCCCAAGAGCACGGATGGTCAACTAGCTCGTTGCTCCGCCAAATCGTACGCGACGCTTCCTTCCAACATCATGCAGGCTTTTCTTCCCGAAATGGCACCTGTCAGCAGGATGGTCATTGCGACGAACTGCATTCCAAATGGCACGTAGCTTGTTGAACACCATTTTGGCTCCTTCGCATGCAAGGAGAAAACAAAGCCAGGGTGTTGGTCTTGGTGGGCCCCCATTGGTTTTGAAGCTCTGGTATCTAGTCCCCCATCGGTTTCTGGTAACCTTGCCTGGAATTCGCATGGGCGTTGATGTGTGTTGCAAGCTCTTTTCTCTTAGTTCATTTGTTCCAACTTGTTGAGGTGTGTTGTATGCCTCACTTCCTGAGTTCATGAACTTTAAACTTTTTGGGAAGACCATTTTAGTGGTAAACAAAAAGTTTGGACTTTTTTTGGGCCATCCACTCAGCCAGCGAGACAATGCACGCTGTTCGTTCCTCTCGGTTGTGTCTTTACCGAAGGTGCCAAAACCGACCCCAGAGAGCGTCAGTCGCCCCGGCTTCAGGCCCCGAAGCTGAGGGCGCCTTGGCCGCAAATCTGTGCAGCGAAGTGGCGAAGCAACTTGCGATCGGCGCGAGAGAGAAACGGAATGAAACATGGAATGACCCCCACCAAAAACCCATCCAACTTTTTTTTTTTTTTAAGGGGATGTCTAGGTTTTTCATAGTCACTGAGCACCGGCAAGATCATTTACTGCTTCAGTCTCATATTATTTTCCTAGCCTAGGGCTTAATTTCACATGATCCTGGAGAAATATGGATTTAAGGTAGCCCACATCCCCAATAACTACTTGGGCCGTCAATGCGTGCGAGGGAACTGGAATAGCCCTGCTGGTTCGTGACCCACTGGGTTAGAATGGAATCTACCAACACAAAGGTTCCAATTCTTGTTTTGTGTGGACCGCTCGGAAACTGGGAAGGGAAACATATGGGCACCGGGATGCTTTTGCAACCGAGAACTGGCTGCAAACTAAACTATATGTTGTTGTTTTAGACAAAAGGAATCCAGAGGGGAGAGTAAATTTCCCATATTTGTTCAGGCGACCCGTGTTTGCATCCCGAAAGTTCCTCATAGGGAACCGGGGCAATTTGTGTGTTTTGCACACTTTGGCCCCACTGGTATTGACAGGGGGTGCGTGATGTTGATGGAAGATCTAGATCGACGTTGCCTCCGCGTCAGCTTGCTGCATTTGCGGTCCAAAGACCTGCTCGGCCCATGCGACATGGCCTGTAAGCATCAGCTGGGCTCTCCAAGAAGACTGTCCGATGAAATTTTGAGGCTAAGTGACCCATATGCTTCCCCAACACGACGCCAAGGGTTGGCTAGTTTTAGGTTGTCCAGTTTCAATGCTGCACCCAGTTCAGCGGCACGGGCCAAGGAATACCTTGCAAGGATCAGTTATTTGTTGCTGCCTTTGTTTTTGCCCCAAGCAGCGGTGTAGATAATTGCCTCAAAGGTACTCTCGTGTCATCCTGTGTGCTAAGAATGCGGAGGGAGTGATGCAGCCTTCATGTCCAAACATGCAGGCAATGTGTGAGTGAGTCTGCATCAAGGGAGGTGCGCTGCTGCAAGTGTTTCCACCAGCTTTCCATTGGTTCGTAGCCCCAAGATAGACTTAACCCAGGCGTCCTCCAAAGTGGGAAATCAACATAAATCAACCACCCCTTTCAGTTCAATCCGCGGGCTTTCCAACAAGTCGTGTCCCGTCGAAATCCTGGGCTTCTCTCGAGGCTATCCCTGCGAGTTCCTGCCGAAGGCCTTGGCGGAGAGCGGGCACGCGCGGGCGGCGCAGTCCGCGCGGTACTTTGGCCAGGCGGGGCGTTGACTCAGCGAGTCACATGGGGAAATGGGTACGAGAAAAAAACACTCGAACTACCGATTTCTGCTCGACCCTGCAAAAAACGCTCGCACCCCGAAAAACGTTCGACCAAATCTCTTCTTCCATCCAGAGGACGGCGGGCATTGTTACTTTTTTTGAATTTGCACTCGTTTGCGGATATTTGCGCTCGTTTTGCGGATATTTGCGCTCGTTTTGCACTTCGAATTCTGCTCGCTCCTTTCGAAAATTCAGCGACCGATCATCTTGGAGGGCCGACCAGCCCTGTTTTGGGAAAAACGCTCGAAGCAGGAAAAAGTGTACATTTACCGTATTTTGGTGACGACCCCTGGTTTTGCAATACGTTTGGGCTAAGGGCAGAAATTTAGGTAACGAAGGGTGCTCCAGGTATATACGGATCCCCTTGGTTTTGGGGCAAGTCCGGTTTTTTTCGGGTGCACGGTCTATTGCTTGCAGTGAAAGTAGAAAACAGAATGAATAGACTCAGATTGGTTTGGTCGTCCCCATTTTTTACAAACAAGTGAGTTGTGCCGATTACTTTCTTGGCCGCGGCGACTGAGATGGAGCCCCAAAACCCGTGGGTCACTGTGGACCGCTTTTCGGGGGCGCCTTTTGGATTGCCGAGGGTTCGGCATTTCGGCAAGTTTTAGGGGTGCACTCTTTGTGGGGGCTCCACGGCCCATGGAGAATGGGCTTATCATGTCAAGCCTTGATAGCTCCATTGCAGCACCCCTGGTTGACCAGCAAGCAGCCCCGCAAAGCCATCATTTGCACAGGGACCTCCTTTGTCAACCACTCCTGCGGCTGGTGGTTTATTTCAACGGGCGATACATATGAACTCTCATCGTCACTGGATGGTCCCAGGGGTCGATCACATCGCTACGTGGAGGCACTCCTTTTGCTCAAGGGGCCCAAGGGGCTGTGGCAGCTTGTCCAATGTCCAGAAACCATGCGGTGCCCGTTTGCCCGTTGCTCCCTTTTCTGGAGGGGGGAAATCCCTTCAGATCAGTGGGGCCACCCAGGACCCAGAATGAACCTTGCCAAGCAGAGCGCTGGAGGGATTGCGCTGCTACCTACCCTCCCCCCCCTTCACAATGGCACCTGACAGGGAATCGGTCCCGTCCATCTTCACAGAATCCGCCTAAAGTGGGAGCAAGGGTATTGTGAAACGGAAAAATAACGAAGGAGAGGGGCAGAATGGAGGAAGTTGATTGTCGAGCCATCCAACGGCTGGCTGCAACCGGAAAACGCTCCGTTCATAGGGGGAAGAGATGGGAAGAGGCTGGTGCATATGCAAGTCAAATGGCGTTGTTTTTGTTGTTTGCTGTTGGCCTGCAACCAAAGTAGGGGTGCACCTTTCTCCCGAAAAGAGGGTTCACCTGTGGGCAAGGCAACCCCTATTTTTTTCCATGGAAAATAACGGGTCACTTTTTAACTGAAACGCTGGCACCGGTGGGCATATGTCCATCGAGCGCCGTTGTCCCATTTACAGCCCTTGTCAGTACTTGCTTGTTCAGCGGTCCATCCAAGCAGACTGCTGGATGGTTTTAAACGCCATAGGAGCGGATATATGATGATGTGCGCTCCAACAGTGATAAACCCTTACTTGCGGGGACCCCTATTGGTCAACCAAGTAAGTTGATTAATTCAGGGTTAGGAAGTTGCGACTGCGCCCGGTCGTTTCTGCGCCATGGCGAGAAGCCGGAGGCACAGGATTCGGGGGGGAAAAAAAAGAGCGTGGAATCTGACCGCTGGGTTCTGAAAGACCATTTTCCCGTTGAAAGGCAACTTTTGTGAGGTTCCATGTGAATTGGTGGGCGGCAAATTATGGTGTCGTGTATTCCATGTTTTGGGGGAAGGCTTGAGAAATGGAATTGGGGGACACTCTAACCCAATTCGTGAAGGTTGGGGGAGTTCGGTCAAATAGGAACCAACCGTATGTCACTAAAACGCAAACCCCGAAGTTCAATCTGAGCTCTGAATATGCGAACCCAGATCAAACCCTTGGCCGATTTATCGGGGGGCCCAGTTTAGAGGGGATCTCGGCCTGAGATCCATGACTTGGCTCCCAGCCATCCCCGTGGCTTTTTAGCCTCTTAGCGTTTAGTGGTAGGTTCCATTTAACCCACTAAAAGTGAAGCTTGTAGCTCAAAATCTGAGGGCCCAGATGAGTTGTTGAAGCTGGAAAGCTGAAGCACTGAAGCATGTCTCAACGACTACCCCCAAGACCGACGGGCGAGATGTGAGAGCAACGGGGCAATCGCGCATGCCTTGCGTGTGGGGCCATCAGCTGGTCACTGCTCTTTCAGGATTGCGCCCTCTTCCACTTGGGACCAGGGCTTTAGGCGCAATATGGCGCAATAATCCCCAGACCTCCGTTGGTGCCCTGTTTTTCTATGTTGAATTCCCCCTTGAATTGAAGCAAAACACCTCGAAAATAAATGGGTGCCCTGTGTTCGCATTTTTTTCACTGGTTTGGGCAGCCAATTTGCGTATCCGCACCAGCTGCTCAAGCATTTTTTTGCCCTCATTTCTTTCTCTTCGCCTCGGCCCTGCAACGCGATGTCGAAGCACGCCACCCTCATCTTTTCCCGCCACGGCGAGTCCGAGCGGCCTGGCGAGGGAGATCGTTTTACTGCTTCACAGAGCTCAGACGGTAGGTACCATCCTGTTTTTGCGGATGGTAGGCTCGCAAAACCATCCCGGGCAGCGTTTGTGGCCGGTGTTTGTGACCAAAACCGGGAACCTACAAACTTATGGCTCGCGGCTCGCGGGACTGCTATTTTTTGAAGAGCACCGGGCGCTCTTCAAGCTTCCATATTAAATTGCAGGAGAGTAGTTGCCAGGTTGATCAAGAGCTGCAAGGTCCATCCAAAAACCTAATACTATTTGCAGCAAATGTTGCTTTGCGCTGCTTTCCTCTTGTCTAGTCTCTGCCCTTGAATCTTGATTACCTTGTGCCGCTTTGTGCGTTACTTTATTGTTCCTTTTGCATCATTTGTTTTACCTATGCATGCTTGTGCATTGCGAGTGCGTGCGCCAAAAGCAACTTTCCAGGTTTGCGATATGGGTGTGGACACCCTTCAGAAATCAGAAGCTTTTTGCCAATTCAGCTCGCAGACTTGATATGTTTGTCCGGCAACCTGTTTTTCTTTTTTCGGGGACAGCTGAATCCAAATCCGGCCTCCGCTAAATGCGCTAAATGTCGGCTGACCTCACCCTAGGAGAGGGAGTCTTGCATTTTCAATCCCGAAACCCGTTTGACCTCCAGGCCTTCATAGCTTGGCTCATGGATTTTCAAAGAAAGCATTTGAGGGTAGAACAAGCAGGAGCCTGACAAAAACGACTTGCAGTCTTCCGGCCGCTTTTAAAGTGCCCAACTGCTTCTTTATGATAAAGAGTAACAATCTGACGGGGTCCCCAACTCTTGTTTGAGCCTTTTGGCTTATGACCCGAAAGACCCTTCTAACAAACCTGGCTCTCACCGTTTTCAGCGCACTCTGCCAAATCATAAGGGGGTTCCAGGGTTGTCCATCCACAGTACAGTTGGCGTCCTTTTCCTTTTCGCCTGTTGTTTGGTGTCCTATTCCGGTCCCTGGGGCTTCCTTTTTCCCAGCTTACATGCCAAAAGGGGGTCCATTGCGAGAAACCGGGGGCTTTGGGCTCCCTGAGCCGCTGCCAAGCTTAGGTCCAACACGAGAAACAAAGTGACAACTTTCTACTGGTTGAAAGGGAGAAAGACATGAAGCTAAGGGAAACGGTTACAACGTGCGCGTCTCGAAATTTTTGGTGCCCTGTTTTTGGCAAATGGTTGACCCTACGTGGTGCGATGTCTGGATTTCGCAACCAGCCACGGCGCACCGATTTCTGGTCGTGGGACCCAGGTGGAACGTGGCCAACATCTTCACCGGCTGGGTGGACGTGGACCTCTCGGAGAAGGGCCTTGGGGAGGCCAAGGGCGCCGGAGAGCTCTTGAAGGCCCCGGCAGCAAAAAAAACGGGGCGACCCGGACGGGGTGAGGCGAAGAAAACAGCTCCCGGATTTGCTTCTCACTGCCTGGGTTTGGACTAAAGAGCCACTTATGGGGGGTTGGGACCATATTAGCGATATCAGTGGTAAAGAACAGTTTGAACACTTTTCCACTCAGGAGGTGAGGATTGTTTTGCTTGGCCTGTTGTTTGGTATGCTGCCTTGGCCTTCAACCAAGGCTCCGGGCATGTTCGTTGAGAGACTTGCAGAATGTCGAGCCCAAATGAGTTCGAGCGTGCCGGCCCTTTGCAACACAAGATGTCAGACGAAGACCTGGCCCCAACAAGTTTTACTGTCGGCCAACTTGCAGCCACTGGCTGATCTCGCTTTGGAGAACAGCTCTTTGAAGGCGCTTGATCCCTGGCAATTGTTACTGGGACGCGTGTCGCTGCGCATGCTGGCAGTCCTACGGCCATTCATTCAGGGCCATGGCTGCCAGTGTTTCCACATTATATATATTGTTTAAAGGAAGGGGAACCTTGATTCATAGATCTGGCCTGGCTAGAGGGGTTTGCATGCCCAAATGCGATCAGAACCGCATGAAGAGCCAGCATCATCATTAGCATCATCATTAGCATCATCATCATCATCATCATCATCATCATCATCATCATCATCATCATCATCATCATCATCATCATCATCATCATCATCATCATCATCATCATCATCCTACCCCTTAATCCCGTAAACCCTTCGGCCTTTGCCCGCCTTGCCGCATATTTCACCGGGAAGGGCTCCAACTATCACACCATGGGAGGTAAGCGGGCCCAACGCCGACTCGGGCTCGCCAGGCTGAGGGTCTGCAGGTCGATGTGGCCTACACCTCCTTCCTCAAGCGCCCCTTGGCCGGCGGTCCAGCGCCGACCCCTGGCGTTGGTAGTGGACTTCAACCTCTGTAGGGTGTGTTTTGGCAGGCATGATACGGATGCTGAAGGGCACCATGGCCACGACAGAGGGGGGTTGACCACACACACAGGTTGCAGCTCCTTCGTATTTGATGAGAGCCAAGGTGCCATCAAGACCTGCAATTTGGCCCTGGAGGCCACCTTTGCCATAGTTGGGATGATTGGCCCGGTGGCCATGTGTGTCTCTGTGTCTGTGTCTGTGTCTGTGGGTTTCTTTGTGTGTTTGTGCGTGTGTCTCTGTGTGAGCGTGTGGTCTGTGAGTGTAGTGTGTGGTCTGTGGTTTGTGGTCTGTGTCTGTGTGTTGTGCGTAGTGCGTAGTGCTGTAATGCGCTGTGCTGTTCTGTTCTGTGCTTTGCTGTGTGTGTGTGTGTGCTCGTGTGAATTGCTTGGGTTTGGTTTGGTGTGATGTCGTGTGGTGTGTTGCATTGTGTTGTATGTTGCGTTGTGTTGTGTCGTGCTGTGTTGTGTGTCTGTGTGTGTGTGTGTCCCTTCTCGTTTGCACAATTCACGCGAAGGCTGCCACTTCAAGGTCTGTTGTTGTCGAAATCAGCACCTGGGGCATCAGCCAAAAGAGCATCCCAAGTCCGACGCTCGCGGCGGTTTCTTTTTGGCAAGCGACAAGCTCCAGGGAACATCTTTCGGCTCTTGGGCTTCCTTTTTCTTCAGCAAGCTGACAGTGAGGCCCAGGAAAGGTTCTCAGAACGCCTTTCTATCAGTCCCAGTACCTGTCCAAGCTGGTGTTCTTTCTCATTGAATCCCAAGCCACATATTGAAGTTCGACCCGGGGCCGCCGTGGCCGCTGCAGGCGGCTGACCAGCTCTACGTGCCGGTGAGCAAGACCTGGCGCCTGAACGAGCGCATGTACGGTGGCCTGACAGGTGGGCAGACCTTACGGCCATGTTCACCGACCAACGGCTTGGCAGATCAGTTCAATAGCTGTTCAAGCCAGTTTGTTGAGTCCAGTGACCTTCAGAATAAATCCGCAAGTGGTGCTTTCCCTCGTGCTAGTGTCCCACTATGGAGTAGAATTGGGGAACGCCAACCATGTTGAGCAAGCCGGTCTGCCATCCGGTCGATCGAGTTGTCAGTGGGCACAGTGCTGGCATGGTTCGGGTTCAACCAAAGGCCATTGTGCCCATTTCGATCCCAGTGGCCTCTGCCTCTCCATTGGACTTCGCTTGCAAACTGAAACCACTGACACTTGCCAAGGCTTCCAATTTAGTTCAGTTCAGTGGACTCCACTCTGTTCTCCTTCAAGCCGGGTTCCGACTTGGATTCCAACCCGTCGTTCCCATCTACGTTTCGGGCCGGGTTGCTGGCCACCCGCTGTCGCGAGATGTCGCGAGAGTTTGCGCGCAGGCCTCGATAAGAAGGAGACGGCCCGGACCCCCGGTCACTCGATCCCCTTCCAAAGGTGGCCGTGGCTTTCTGGGCCTTTGGTTGCATGTTGAGGGATTCAATCTTACTTTTCGGGGTTTGCATGAATCATAAATCATTGGTTTTAAAGGCCTTGAGGGTTTTTTTAGGAGGTTCCATGAATCAGGAAGAACACAAGCACATTGATGTCAGTTGACTTGACCCGTTCGTTCGTTCCATGAGCAACGGGCCCTGAAAAAGCGGCAGAAGCGGTGGAGAAAGCATCAATGCAATCGATCAGGCGGCTGATCAAGTACCCAATTTTGTTTGAGCGCCTTCGTTGCTTTGGGGGTTCCCCTTCAAAATCAGTACATGTACCCCTCCCAAAAGAGTGCCCTTTTTCTACTGGGGTCTTTACGTGGCCTTGGGAGGCCTGCTTGGACTTGGATCCGGGCCGAATCCGCTTTGCCTTGTTTTGAAACCAAATCCCAACCTTTTTGAGGTTTTCCTACCAGCAACAGAAATGGCTTTCAGCGCCCCAGCGCGGCCATCGCCACCCTGCAGAAAGTCAGCTCGGGCTTTGGGCGCTGAAATTGTGAAGAACCGACCTGCGCCCAGGTCGTGAAGCACGGTGCTGAGCAGGCTCGTAGCGTAAGCCCGCAAATCATACCCAGCTGCGCCGGTTTTCGTCTGGGAGCTCGGCAGGACATGTTTCGTTTGTTTTCTTGCGAAACTCGGGAGATTAGTGGGGGATTAGTGGCATGCTTTTTCGTTTGTTCCCCCTGGCACAACAAAGAATGTCGGGACCGTTTGCAGGCCAGCCGTTTTTCTTCGAGACGCGAAGCGATGGAGCTTCGGGGGCTTTCGGAAGCTGGATCTCGGTCTCGAGTCCGGACAACCGCGGCCCCCGCCTTGCATGCGTCTCTCCGTCTCTCCCCAAGTTTTACAGGTTTCAAGGGCCGTTTGCGGCCTTTGTGTTCGCCACCTGGGGATGTTGCGAGGCTTGATCAGTGAAGGGGTCCTTTGGTACGTGAGGCACTGAGATTGCCAAAAACATGGTGGAAGAATCGGGGAGTCAACAACTTCGGGGTCGACATGTCCAAAGGCTTGGGCTCACTTCCCGAGTTCAGTTTCGGACTTTAGTCACTTTTTTGATGTTGGACCGTTTCTTAGTGGTAAGCAAAGCAAGTTTGGTGACTTTCTCTGGCCGATCCACTCGATAGGAAGCGAGAGCGCTAGGTGCAAGTCTGGCGCCGCAGCTTCGACATCCCCCCGCCTGTCCTGGAGAAGGCCTGGACTGACCGCGGTTGGATTTGGCATGAGGAATTTGCAGGGTTGCGCAAGGCTTGGTTGACGTTGGAAGGGGAGCAAAACAAAATGGATTTTAGCAGTTCAGTGGGGACCTCCCACTAACAATAAGCAAAGATGTAAAATGTTTCCCAACAACAACCATGAAAAGGGAACATGGCACGGCAAACAGAATTCGAATTCCAGGGATCGCCCCTCCCTGAGTTCCATTTTGAAAAGGAGTGGGGGGGGAAATGGCCCGAAGCATCCACGAGAAGCGCTCTTTGAATCCAGCTGCTGTATCAGAACAGGGCTGCTGCCTTAAACTACTGCAATCTAAGCTTATTGCAATTTGTGGTGTCAACAGCCTAATGTGACGAAAGGTCCATTCCAGACCCGCAGCGTGAACATTAGGCCCCCTGAACAGGAGCAAAAACAGGACCCTGGCTGCGTTTCTGCCACCAAAGTGACCAAACCAGGTTTGGCGCGCAACCTTGCAATCCCCCATGCCCCTTCTGCCCAAGTGGTTTGGTCACGAGCTTTGGCATGATCCAAAGATCGAATCGACGGCCTGCGCCAGGAGAGCAAGTACCACCCCTGCCATGAGGCGAAGTATGCGGGTATGGACCCGAAGGACTGCATCCGGATATCCGGATCGGAGGGCGAAGCAGATTTTGGGTTCGGTTATTGAAAAGGCGCCCTTGTCAGACAACGCCAAAACAGGAAAAAAGAAACCCTTGGTGTTGTGGGACAAAGCCACCTGTCTTGCAGAGGGGGGGGGAGGTGGATGGAAAAGTTGTTCTTTTCAGGGATCGCTGTGCACCTGAGGGGGTCAGGCCCCCTATGATAGAAAGAAGCAGATTGTCAAGGTCCCGTGTGATGAAAGCCGTTGCCTGCAGGGCACTTCACAGTCTTCCTTCAAGGAGGTGAACCCGGGCAGATGAAGATGAGTAAGGGATAATCCCAAGTATAAATGGGTGCCTTCGGTGCCTTCCGGTTGAATGCTTTCTGGGACCATTTTGCTCCCGATCAGTTTTGATTACGACTCAGCTGAGGTTGCGAGGTGTTTTGTTGGCATGCCCACTCTACTTGTGCACTTCGGAGTGGCGGAAAACCGCCTTTGCCACGCCTGATAGTTCCATTGTTTCTTCAAAGGGGACAGGGGACCCCCCCAACCACCCTCAAAGTAGAAGGGGTTTTGAGAAAGCACCGGCTGTAAGCTATTCGGATTCAACAGAAGGGGACTGCTCTCTCGAGTCTTTTGCATTGGCTTCGTGAAAATTGAGCTGAAACAACTTGAGCCACTAGCGGTACGGCCCATGCAAGTCTGATTACGTGTTTCCAGCAACGAGGCCATTTTTGCCCGAGAATTCGGGCAATCGGCAGTCACTATTGCAGCTGCCAACCTTGCCGGAATCAATCGAATCACACGTAGTTTCTTTGGTCCATTGTCCGTGACACTAGCAAAGCTGGGGGCGCACGTGGGGTACATTGAAACGCGTCTACCATGCTGGTTATGGTAACTTCCAGACTTGAACTCAAAATGTCCACGTGTGCTTTTTGAGCAAAATATAGTGACCTAGATCAGCCGGGCTTGCGACCTGACGTATAGGGGACTGCAACTATGTTTGGATGGTGACGCCAACAAACATGGAACGCGCCCCTTTCGGAAGACAACTTTCCTCCTGAGACCGGGCGGTGCGCTTTTCATGTTTCTGGACAATTAGAACAGGTTCACCGGGTAAAACGAGCTCACTCAAGGATTTTTATGTTTTTCACTCAGCAATTTGCCCAGAAGAATGCCCACTTCCATGTTTCCCAAACGCCTGCCCATGGAAGTCCAAACCAGGGCAGCAGGGGACCATTGACAGCTAGTTGAGGACCTTCCGGACACCGAGTGCTTGAAGGACACCATCGCCCGCGTTGCTTGGGCAAATGGGGGCCAGGGCGTCGGAATTTGGAGCGTGTCAAGTTCAATTTGGAGTTGGGGCCATCTTCCGCGTCCAAGGAATTTGTAGCTCTTCTGAAGCAGGGCCTCCGAATCAGCCCACCAGCAAAAAAGGATTGATTGATCCTTCTTTATCTTGGAGGGGTAGGCGCAACTCCCGATTGGGTTGCGTGTCAAATATAGGAGCACTTTGAGGTGACAGTATTTATAAAATCAACCGGCGTGATACTGCCAATTTTGGAGGGCTCCAACCACTTGACGGGACGACCTGTGACAGATCACCATCAATTTGAAGTCAGCATGTTGTGCGGGAATTGTCAGGTGCTTCCCAGCCCACAACAACTCTTTTTCGAGCCTTACGGATACGTGACTCATATATAACTCTCTTTGGCTTCCTTGCTGTCCCCGTCTGAGAGAAGTCCAACAAGGATCAGCCAATGCCTATCCCATGGTTCCTATGGCAGTTCTGTGGCCATCTGGCAGGCATTGGGGGTGGAGACCCGAGCTTATCTCAGGTGATGCCCTACTGGGAGGAGACCATCGCCCCCATGCTGAAGCAGGGCAAGACCGTTTTCGTGGCCGCCCATGGAAACTCCATCCGCGCCATCGTCAAGATGAGCCCCGGATAACCTATGATGCCTGCGATGCCTTCGACCAATTGAAGTCAGTTGAAGCTGCTGTGTCATTTTGAGGGGTTCGTTAAACAAGCAGCCGTTGACTTGGCTTGGGCGTGAGATGGCGTGAGTTGATTGATCCAAGCCCACCTGCAAGCAAGACGATAGTTCAACAAGCGCATCACGATAGAAGCAGCGTGCCTGGTAACAGAGCTTAGATGAGCTGGAACTCTTAGCGTGGTCTGCACAAGGTTGGCTCTCAGGGGTTTTGAGCGAAAAGCTTGGATCGAGCCGGTGTTAGTCCTCTCGGTAGCAAGCAGCAGCTGGACTTGTCAAGTCGGGCCAGTGGCAGGGAATCCAAAACGCCTGACATGGGAGTCTGCTGCAGCGCAGGAAATTGAGCTGATGCAAGGTTGCACTCAGTTGCCCAAGCCGACCTGTGACCTTTTCGTTTTCCTGGTTCCGTCCCTTCTTGGTCAAGGTTCCAAAAGGCTTAACCCTGTACTTCTGGGTCCTGTGTGCATCTGAGTGCATCGTTACACGCTGCACGATTCTCAGATGGGAGTTGCCGGGTCGTCAGAAACTCAGTGGCCCTTCCCGAGCTTGCGGCGGTCGAGCCGTGGAGCCGTCGAGCCGCGGAGCCCCTATAGGAACCCCGCCCCTTGCATCAACCCCCACTGGCTTCCTCAAAACAAGGCCGATACCTGGGTCTTCCATCTGGTCACTGTTTGGGGATTGCATATTTTTGCACATTTCGGATTTTGAGCGGGAACTGGCGGCACATGACCTGGCGGACACACACACCCAGAACACTGTTGAGCTGTTTTCCCAATTGAGCATTTTGAGTGGAATGCGCTTTTCTTTTGCCCGAAAGAGGAACACAAGCAACCCTTGCCCCGGGAAGACCTGAGAGCTCGGACCCTGGCAGGGTATAGCCTGTTCCTGCAGGTTGGCTCCACACCTGATGGGTGAGCTCGAACTGGTTTTGGACTCTCACGACATCCCCCCCAACACCAATCCATTGATTTGCGTGTTGTAACCTCGGTACGTGTGGTTCGCACGGGAAACCAAAGGGAACCCCCCGCCAATTTGGGGGATTTCAGGCATGTCCCATTTGTAGCACACACACACACATGCACATGCACACACGTTAGGCCCTCCCCCGAATTTGTCTCAAGGATCGAGGGCCTCTCTGACGACCTCATCCCAGGGCTCGAGATCCCCACCGGCACGCCTTTGGTCTACGAGCTCGACAAGGACGCGTTTAATGCGCGGGGTTGTGCGTTCCCAGGCGAAGCCAAGTCCCAGGAAGGAGACTCCTCTAACGTCCATCTGGGGCTGTGTGAAACCTCGTTGGGGTTGGTTTTGTCACACCTCCCCTCTTTTCCCTGGCGCAACCGAAGCACCGTGCCGTGCCTCTACCAAGCGGCGCCGGGGTTTCACAGTTTCATCGCCATTGAACAGATGGTTTGCAAGTAGCGCATAAGTTGTGCAATCTTCCGGCGTGAAAAACAACAGCTGCGTGTACAACAGCTCAAACTTAAAAGGAAACCAACAGGGCCAGAGCACCCCAACAGATTAACATGGATCCCGAAAGCCAATCCTTTGTAGGCGGGGCAATTTCCCGTTTCGGGTCCACTGTGTTTGGAAGACTTGCATTTGTTGTGCAAGCATGTGCCTGCTGTTGCCGTGATATCATTTCGTATGTCATTCAGAAATGGGTGCGTCTGTTTTCGAGGGCACCCTTGTCGGGTTTGGTTTAAAGGGACCTCAAGAGGAAACCACCTAGTTTGGTGGATCCTTTGGAAATATGCACCTCCCAATGGCTTTGCTTTGTTTTGAATTCAGGTTATCTCACTTCCTGAGTTCCTGGACTTGAGAGCAACTTTCGGGGCTTGCCATTTTAGTGGCACAAAAGAACTCAATCCAGTAACAGTAGCCCCTTTTAAGTGGTAAGTGGTAAGTATATATAATGTATATATATATATATAGATACAGTTATTATATATGTATATATATATATATAATTTAAAAACAAGAAAAGAGTTGGGCCTTTTCTGGGCCAATCCACTCGATCGGCTGCGAGTTGACTTCACAGGACCTGAAGCCGATCGCCTCCTCCTTGGCCGTGGAGCCGCTGAAGTTCGGGCGATACCTGGGCGACGCGGAGCCTCGGAATGCGTTGAAGAAAAGGGTCCAGCGGATGGTTCGGATGTTTTTGGGGGCTTGAAATATGAAACATCATATCTGACAAAAATGCTGTTCTGGCAGAACCCCAGAGGTGGCCTATTATTATGCTAATACTGTGGATGGACGATCTCCTGCACCACCTAAAAACCATGAAACGATGATTCTTTAGATACCAACGAACAATGGTGTTCCTTGGATTTAAAGTGGTGCAGGATTTCGTCCATCCACAGTATTTTTTAGGGTGGGCGGACTATGAAGCCGAATAGATCAGACTCTGCGAAGATATGGACAGTCGGGCTCCGAAGCGGGCTGCTCGATCTCCGGGAAATGGGCAGCTCGTCCCCAGAGCATCCCCTAAGAAATCACATGTTGTTTGATAGGGTTCCCACCTGGACACAGCATCCACCAATGGATGCCCCAAAGAACCCCATTTACCGCAATGGAACAACATGCGGCTGGACAGGCTTGCTCACAAAGTTTGTTCAAACAACATCCAGGCGTTTTTTGTTGATGTTTCTTTTTGGGGGGATGGGGGGCAACAGTGGGTGTTTGGAAACATGTTCAAACATACATGTCGCGCTTCCTGAACCCAAAAAAAAATCACGCTCGTTTTGGGGGAAGCTCCGATCGCCCCAAGCTGAGGAGAAGATCAAGGCCGCCGCGGAGGCGGTGAAGAACCAGACCAAGGCGAGCGCGCGCTCGGCGGAGAGCTATGGTGGGTTGGTGCCGTTGCTGTGTTTTTCCCCCCTTCTTTTTTTTGTTTTTAAGGTTGGTGCCTCCAACATGGTTTTGGGCGGGTTTGAAAGGGTTTGGTTTCTTAAGAGTCATTCCCTCATTCCCTGCTGACCACCTGGAATTTTCAAGGAACATCGCATTCCATTTTGGGGCCCCTGGTTTGACACATACCCAAGAAGGTTTCTCAGAATGCACCACTCAAAATGTATGGGTGCCCTTTGATTTCCCTTTGAAATCGTTGAAAAGGGTCCCCCTTAAATCGGCTAAGCATGGAGTTTGGACGGCTCGCGTCCTGACTGCTCGCGGATCTTTTTTTGTTTTCGCCGGGGAGGGTCAGCTGCAGTTTTTCCAGTCGAGTTTCTTGCAGGATCCCAGGCACCTAGCAAACACAGCAACTGCAAGCAGCAAGCCGCCAGAAGGCGCAGACGCCTATCTAGCCGCACCCTCCTTTTCTATGGATGATCCCAATCCCAAAATGAACCAATCCGCCTTGGGGCGAAAAATGCCATGCTTTCTGAAGACGACGGGTGAAGAGCATGGGGAACCAACCCCAGTGGACTTGAGCCAGGACGACCCTGTGCGAACAACCTGGGCTCTTATCACTGGTTTGGCCAGTTCAAGATGGGTTTTCCTTGGTGATGTTTTTGGTTTCGGGGACTGGGCACCTTGATGGCCTGGGGCCCTGCGCGCTTGTGACTTTGGGTCTTTGTCTCAGGGCTCCGAGGAGTTAAAAGAGTTTGGTAGCTTTCCTGTTCCCAAGGCAGCTCCCAACAGGGCGCCCAACAGATTCAAAGCCGACCACCGACCCCATGTCAGGTCACTTTTTTCGGCCCCTCGGCCAGGTCGGCTGAGACATCTTCTGAACAACTTCTCTGGGGATCACTGGCCCTGGAGGCGGTCGGCGGTGTTTGTGGGCAAGTTTTGGCAACGGGTTCTTGGGGAATGAGTTGGAATGTCCCGAACTGACCCATCCCTTATGGTTTCCTGTAAGGGGATCAATCCTTTGGGGGGGGTTGTGGAGGAGCAACCCTATTCAATATTGATCCAGGTTTACCAACCCGAGGTTCACCACAACATTTAGATGAGAGCGGACATTCCATTTCAGCTGCCACTTTTTGTATAGGGTCCAACCATTTGAGGTTGTTTCGGGGTTGCTTCCCACTTTCCTTGCAGGAAAGCGTTTCCAAAAGGACTAGTGAACCTGTCAGCTTCCGAGTTCAGCGCCCGTTTTCCCTTGCTTGGTGGGTTCCCCAGAGATAGGTCACCCGAAACCCTTTGGCGAGCTTCTATGTATGCGTATCTCTTGTTTCAGGTTTCCGGAAAAAAAAAAAAAGGGAAAACAAACATGTAGACGACGTAGGCTCATTGCCAAACACTACTTTGGAGCAAGGCTTCCCGTCCCAACTCGCTCAGTTGATTTGAACTGGGAGTTGGCACCCCTTCATGGCGGTGAAAGGAAGCCAAACAGAAACCGGGTCATATAGACGATTTTGGCATGATTGGTTTAAACATTGTGGGAGAGATTCCGAGTTTGAGCCACGCATATGTCCGTGCTGCGCTGCTTTGCCAAAGAGTCATTTCAGGACATGGAACATCGGTAATCATTGGAGAATACATGCTTCGTTGATAGGCGGATGTCACGGATTGTCATTTTCGCAGTGGGCTGGGTCTTGTGAGACAAATTTCAGCTTTTGCGGTGATGTATAGTGAGCAAGCGCAGCAACAACTGAGCAGTGGCAATGACAGTGCACTCACCCAAGTTCCCATTGCAGAACGCGGGCCGCCCACCCAATTCCAATGTCAGTTGGAGACACCAAGGGCAAACACTTATGCGTCGCCCACCAAGTGTGTAATCATTGCCTACTTCATGGGGGCTGGGGGGGAGGGATGGGGGGGGGGGGGAGGGAGCCCCAATAAGCCCGAATAAGGCCATATTAGGGGCTTACTAGGGGCTTATTTGGGTTCACTCCCCGTCCCCTCCCTCGCCCCGAGCCCCCATGACTACTTGCACCGGCAGGTTTTGGCGGCTCGAGAAATCGCAACTTGGCCGCCATTGGCTGCAAGTAGATGGCGCGCTTCATTCGGCGAATGCCCTCTAAAATTGTCGATCCCGCTAGGTAATAGAAACCAGCTCCAGGACATCCCCAAACTTTGGGCAAAACACGTTTTTGGAGAATCATATTTTTGGCAAGCATGAGCCGGTTTCTCAGGCGTTCGCGTCGGCTTCTTCGACAGCTCGACTAAGTGACTAAGGTTCAGTCTGAGAGCCGCCCGTCCACAGATTCGTCCTCCAGTGTTCGCCCTTGTGCCCTTCTTTTGAAGTCATTTGATGGAAATGGAAGTCACCGAATTCTTTGATCCAAGATCTTTGGTTTGACATGTGAAAGTTTGTTCACGCTTGTTGTGGCTGCAAACGCACAAAGTCAAAAGGAGGCAACTTATGCCGAATTCCTTGACAGTTCTTTGGACCAGGGGCCCGCAGGAGGGCACGTTCTTGAATCTCTTTCGGCCGCGATGGCAGCTGTTCTCGCCGCGGAGAAAAAAACAAACGCGTGGCAGGGAAGCTTCGAGTGGTGAAGGAGTTTTTTTTTGCCTCCGGATCTAGGCTGTGCAAATTTGATATCCAAGACCCAGAGAGTGCCTTGGTACCCTTGGGTGGTTTTGAGTGGTTGGAAGGTCAAAGTACTATCATGGAAGGTACTTGCAACATCTTGCAGCCTTCTATTTGAGGGCTGGGGCCGTGGGGCTACATGCGAGCTTGCCCTGGCTTCTACGACCGCGGGCATGTGTTTTGCTCAGGCGGCCTCATGTTTGGTTTGACCTTCACTCAGCCATTGCCAGAGAACGCCATGGGGAATCACGATGGCCATGGCCATACAGGGGGCCGAAAGCGTCGCTTTGATGTCGGGCAACCAATTGAACTCAATAGTCGTTGACTTGTGTCGAACGGGCCTCTCCCAGGACTTGCCGAAATGACATCCTTATTACAGTCCCTTGAGGGCACCCCTCTTGGAGAAGAATTGGCCCAGCTGAAGGTGTGTTTGTGAGGGTGGGCAGGGGCAGCTTTGTGAGCAAGTCAGCTTTCTCTTCATGTTGGTTCTCGACCGGGCAGGCCATGGCATGGCGCTGACTGGCAGTGAGCGGTTTCACCTCACATGTTGGTGCTGCTCGCTGAGCGGTTTTCTGGGGGAACCAAAGGGAAGCCAGGCCTGTTTTGGAGTTTGCTTCTTGGCTTACTGTTGCAAGACAACAAGCCCACCAACGAGGGGCCTTTCCGTTTCGTTTCAGGGGGCCACTTCGTTCTGCCCAACAAAAGGGGGGTCCAAACGCAAGTCTTTGATTAGGGCTGCACGGATCCCGGAGAACAAGACAGGTACGCTGACCGAGGGTCCTATGACCATAGCTCAGCTGAAGTTTCCGCCTGAGCGATGACCTGGGTGCACTCGTGCGAGGAAAGTAGGTCCCTTGCAGACGAGGAATTCTGACGTTTTGATTTCCGCTTTTCAGTGAGTGAGCAAGTAGTATTTGGATGGCAAACCCACTCAGCATGTAATTCGGGGATCACCATGCTTAACATGTCCACCAACCTCTCTTGTCCCGTTTAAAGCCAGCCTACTGGCTAGCTGTGGAAGCAGTAGACAGGCCAAGCGGCAGGCAATACAATAATCCGTTGGCCAGTGGGCCAGCAACGGTTGATCGGTTGTTCTATCCATCCTCCCGCCGACGGTTCTGGCTAAAATCACCTTTGTCCGGCAAAAATATCAAGCACCAACAGTATTGGATAGCAATGCTGGGGGAAATCACTAGGACGCAGGTTGGGGATTTCGTCCGTGGAGGGTGTGCTTGTGCCAGCCATCCATCCATCCATCCATCCATCCATCCATCCATCCATCCATCCATCCATCCATCCATCCATTTATCCATCCGTCAGTCCATCCATCCCATCCCGTCCATCCACCCACCAAACGTTTTCTCCATGCAGCCATCAGCCACTGGACCATCAGTCCTTTGAATGGATGGTTGAGATCCTTGGCGAAACCCGAAACTCTGCCTCGACCCTGATAGGGCGACTACGAGTCCTGCCTCATGGTGTCCAAGAAGGTCTTGGAAGAAGACCCATACCACTTGGCAGCCTTGCCTGTGCCTTGCCAGAGATGCTTGTCCCGGCTGGAGCGAATAAATGCATAGGGAGGGGCGTCCACATCCATTTGGCAATCGGAAGATGAGGTAAAACCAGAGGGGGATGGATCTGAGGTTCATATTTCCTCGCTGGTGATGCTGAACATGACCAATGCCTCCCGCCTGAATCGCGGCAGGTTTGGCTTCCAGCTCGGTGAAGCTCCCGTTGGCAACGTGATTCAGTCAAAAATGTCTAACCAAAGCCCATTTGAGCCGCGCCTTTTTTCTGAAGCAAAACACTCTCGAAGTGGACATTCTAGACAATACGTAGGTTCGCGGAAGGGCAGCCCCCATCTTGGGAACAGTACCCGCAGTAGGGGGGGCTTTGATTTCGACCAGAACGGTGTTCGCAAAGCAAAATGTGTTTGCCTGTAGCATGCACGATCCTTTCGCAAACCCCAGTAACAGCTTTCACTGCGGAAGGGGAAGCACTTACAAGGAAGCTTTATAATTTATAATGGCCCAATTTAGAAGCAAGCGCACGTTCTGAGGCATAGTGGTGGACAACGCCTGTTCCTGTGTCTAAGAAGGGGTGTGTGAATTGAATTGGGTTTGGCCACCTTCACCAAGTTTGAAAACACCCGCAAGCTCCTAGTGCCTGAGTTAGGCTGCAAGGGTCACTGATAGGAGCAACGCGGAAAGTCATGGACACCTGCCATTTGGGTGCGTTTCAGAGACACTCTGCCGAGGTTGTCTTCTATGTTGCGCATCAGCTGATGAACGCCTATCCCTCCACGGCTGTCGCCTGGTACACTGCAGGCGCCGCCGCTGAAACGGAACCCAGACAAGCTGCGCCAACTTGTTTATGGTGTGTAAGGGGCAAGCCAGAGACAAAAGTGACACGGAAAAGGAGAGAGAGAGAGAGATACATAGATATATTTATATACACATACACATGCGCATGGTTTATACTAGCTTGCTACACGTCAACACGAAGAGCTGCTTGAACACCAGCTAGGCATCTTAGTTTAACATTTTCCAAGTGAGTGGACCTGCGCGTATTAGACTGTCAATGAAAAATGTGGAGCGGGCCCACGCAAACAGAACACGCATCCAAGAGGGGGCATGGATTCTTGTTAACCAAGTGAATGATTGTCTCCATGCCACCGCACCACGCACGCAATGGCTGGGCCAGACGGAAAAAGCCTGAGAGTTTCTTTCATATCGCAATAAGTGACCCTACCAATGACCATGGACGCATTCTCAGGTACGGAGGCATACCGGGCCTTCTCTTCATTGTGTTTTCATTGACAATGTGATGAAGGTGAACATGTTTGACGCTTGGTGGTGACTATTTAGGGCCGCACCAGACCGCAGAGGGCATAAATAAAGTAACTTGCGCGCCAGTATGAGAAGCAAAGAAATCCGAAGCCTTAACTTCAACACCTATCTCAGCCACTCGAACGCGAGAAGGTTGGTCTTTCTAGGGGATCAGTCCGCAGGGCTGCAGGCAGCGCCCCGTTAGAGGCAACCCCGCTTTGCGTAGGGAACACGCATGCTTAGCAGCGTGGCGCCCCTGGTAAACAGTGGACACGCCCTAATAAGCATAGTCAACCTAACAAGTCTTCCGACCCACCCAGCTGCCCAGTGATTCTGTACCACTTGGGCTCCTCAACTTCAAGTTTGACACAGACTTGGTCCTTGACTTGAGGGCAGGCAACTGGCGGTCGTTTCTTTCCGCTGCGCAAGGCAACAACGCGGGCGTTTTCCAGTATTCCGTACTGGCCTTTGACAACGGTGCTTCATTTTTAGTGGTTGTCCCGTTAAGGTTTGCATTTTGAGGGGTTCTCTTGCTTAGTTTCAACGCTGGCTTCCTTGCTAGCCGATAGTTCAAGAGTAGTTCTTGCATGCCACTTTCACGGAGCCAGTCAGAGAGACTGAGAGAGTAATATTGATGTTGACAAGGCAGAGAAGTATTTCAACGCCCTACCGCCAAACAAAAATTGCTGCAAGCCGCGCAGCCCCTTGACTTGGCCGCACGGTTGCTCAGTCGCGCGCAATGAACTGCCAAGAGCTGCCACTCGCAGCAACGCCCGTGTAACGAGAGCTTTGCTTCAAAAGCGTGCTGCTCCATCCTGGGTCATAGTGAGCACGCATAGTCTGTGACACTGCAAGGGGTGATCGTTCACGTTGGTCATAGCTTCTGGGGCGTCAGCTTCAGGCGCGTTGTGTGGGATCATCGCGCAACGCGGGGGGGCCGCCGGGCTTGGAGCGTGGCATCAAAGTCAATGGCAGCAAAGCCGGGTAAACGCTGAGGCTGCTTCGACGATGATTGCCAATCAGGGCAGCATTTCCCAATACTCGAATCCTCGCAGCCTTCGCAATCTGAGCCGTTGAAAACCAACGTGACTTGTCAAAGGAAGGGGTTGGCCCCTCAAGCTGTGCACGCCTGTTGGCAAGCCAGGCCCCAATGTGCCCCGCGAACCGGGTAGGTGAATCAACCACGAACCATGGTAAAACACCCGATTTTCCCCAGTTGTCAGTTCGCAAAATTGAGTTGAATCAAGAGAAACCAGATGCCATGCACTCCGCCCAGCCCTAGCCGTTCCAGCGACGCTCGCAGGTTGCTACTACTACATGATCAAGAAGTGCCTACACCTGCCGTAGCGACAGTGGAAATGTCGTTTGTTTCGGTATGGTTCGGAGAGGAGCTCTGTTGAATTTCTGTTGAGTTGCTTCGACTCTTAAAGTTATGTTTTGTTGCGCGCGTCCCCACTAGATGAACTGGAATCAACCCCAGAAAGGGTTCCAACTGCTTGTGTACGTTGAGGGTCACTGGGCAAGCGGGGGGCCCACGCGGGCCAGCTCACATGAGCTGTCCGGGGACCCACGCGGGCCAGCTCACATGAGCTGTCCCAACATTTCCGCGCCGATGCCGCATGAGGTGTTTGCCTGTTTTGCGCCCAAGCGGGCAAGAAGCTTGGAAGAGCAGGGCATGGCATCATGAGCATAAACAATGGGTTTCGCAACAGGATGTCGCAATAGGAGCTTCAACACAGGCTTCAATGGAATCCTGGGAATGCCTACAACCATTTGCTCGTACCTTGCCTTCGAGGTACGAGCACGCCCGGCGGTTCTTTCACAAGGCGTGTCGCATGGGAGCAGACGGCTGGCCTCAAGGGGATATCAGAAGTGACAGCATTGACGTCTACAGTTGCGAATATGACCCCATGTTGGAAAACCCATCGGGATGTGGCTCAGAAGGCCTTGCCAAGCACGACAAACCCATTTGGGGTGACCTCATGACCCCTGAGCCATGGCTGAAACAAGAAAGGCGTGTAGAATGTTGGCGGCCGTTTCCCTGAGTTGCTGCTAATGCTTCTACCAGTGCCGTCTTAAGTTAAATGCCACGTTGGGGAGGTTGTACCAACGAAACAATCCCGTGCCCTTTGAGTCTTTGTGGTTGACTTCTCTTGGCTTTCCTTCAAAGCCAATCAATTCCCCTCAGTTAACGCGCCCATGCACGTGGGTCTGTATCAAATAGGGGAACCCCCAGAAGAGAAACCTGACGAGGGTACCGAGCTTCAACAAAAGCACAAAGGTGCCCTTATAGCAGGTCCCGTAGCAAACCCAGAAAAAGACGCCTCTGCCGTATCCTCTGCCTACCCTGGGTTTTAGTCATCCTAGGTTCCCTGTTGTGTGCATCATTTGGGGCGATTTGTGTCCACCAACCATTTGGGAGGGTATTCCCTGCCATTCACTGACGACATTGTTGTATGTTCTTTGGTTTGAACGGGGGCCTACCACAACTAGACAAAAATGTTCTCACTTCTTCCATGACGCATCAGCTATTGGAAGTTCTTCTTCAAGATTTGTCTGGGTGTGTCTTCTTTTACGGGACGCCCTCCACAAAAAAGTTGTTTTCCTCTTGGTTTCCCTTTAAAACCACCAAGAAGACGAGCCGCCCATCTGGTTTTCAGGCCTTGTCCTTTGACACCTGCTTTGCCCCGGCCTGGGTGGCATATGGCCATGCCTTCGCGCAGCACGACGAGAGCGACCAAGCCCTCGCTGCGCAACCTGGCGAGACCCCGCCCCAGTGCCTGAAATATCCCATTTGGGCGTTGATTTTTTGCAGGGCACCCCAGTTCCCTGCGTTAAAGGGAAAGTAAAAGGAAAGCCATGTTTTTGGGGGTCCCCTACTTTGACACATACCCACATCTCTTAGTTTGGGGAGGCCTCGCCGAACTCCACGGGTTCATGCACCATACCGATGTGCACCATGCAACGGAAGGTGCTAAGTGCACACCTTCCAAGGATGTGCCAGGTTCCTCCCTGTAACCCCTCCGAAATCATGCTCAAAGGGTATTCCTTGGCACACTTGTGTGCACCCCAAGGGTATACCAAGCGTACATCCAATTCACGGCTTCCCCTTCAGCACCCACATCGCCACCTGGCGGCTCGAGCTTGTAGTCGTCCTCGCGAGGGCAAGGTTCACTTCTCAGGCGATGTATGGCGATGGTTCAGTTCTCTTCGCGGCGTTCAATGGCTTGCAGCATTTTTTTTAAATGACCACCAGCCGGCGCCTGTTTTTTGTTTTTTTGTTTGGTTGGTTGGCCTCCCTGGCGGTGGCCTCCCTGTTGGTGACATTTGGTTGTTTGGTCGCAAACAGAACCTCCAGTCTCCGGGGGCCTCAGTGCCTTCGTGGCAAGAAAAAGAAACTGACGGCCATGGTGAGCCAGCGCTTGGTGCAGATGATCTTTCAGCTGGGCTCCTGTTGCCTGGGCTGCGGCCTCATAGGCGGGGCCCGGGGCCAATTTGTCGGGCCGAGAGAGATGCAGGCTGGGGCTTCGGCTCGGGAGAGCCCTGGGTTGGTTTCCTTTTGTTGGTTGCAACTTGTTGGGTGTCTCTTTCAAATCAACTGCTTGGGTGCCCCTTTTTTATGGGGTACTCCAACTGGGGTCTGGGCAAACCACTGCCAGGACCCCAAACAAAGCCGGCATCACGGATCTTTGCAGTAAGCAAGCGTGAACACATATGTGTGCGTGTGAAAGCCTCACTAGATCACGGATTTTCCCGTGTGTTTGGGGGTTAGTATCAGGATATTGATCCTGATACTGTTGCCAGACACCTTCGTCTGATAATAAGGTATGTGGCATAGCCGAGACGGCTTCGAGGGAATGACTCTGAAAGCGATGCCGGACAAGCTCTTGTGGATCCTGTCGCGCGCCGTTCCCTTCGGGTTGATGTGCACCTGGCAAGTGACGTGATCTGGGGTCTCCAAATTAGGTTACAGAAGGTTACGACCAAGCAAAATAAGGGACCCTTCCGCAAATAAATAAATACATGAAAAACAAAACACTTGGAGGTTTTCCCCCCGGTCTCCCTTTACACCAACCGGAAAATGCGTGAACTTGTAGGTCTGAACCAGGTGATCGATCCCAGTTCTTGGTGAGGGAATGTCGCGGATGTCTTGACATCCTCGACACCCAGGACCCCAGTGCCGCAGTGCAATTGAGAACTCCCTTTGAACCTTAATTTCGGCCATCCGCCTTGGGGGCTGTATGGCTTAAGGCTTGGGCGTGGGCTGTATGGCGGACCCGGTGGCCTCGGCGGAGATGTATGGCTTACCGCTGCAGGCGAAGGACAAAGCGCTGACTTGGGCCCCTTGGTTGTCTTCTGACGCGTCAGAGCTTTTTCCGCCGATCAACATGGATCGCAGAAAGCGAATCCTTCTCGGAGAGAATTCTTTTTGGGAAAAATGGACCCCCTTGTTGGGCATGTGAAGTTGGCGAGGGGGGGGGTACTTTGGGCTTGTTGGGCAAAATGAGTGCCTTCGCACTGCAGCTACAGGCTGAAGTGCACTTTTCTTCCAAGGGGCGCTCGTTGGGGTTGCGCCACTCAAAAGCGTGGGAGGTAAAGGGATCTGCTGTTTTTGTGCTAGATGACTCACCCACGCGCTGTAGCTTCCCCTACGTGCGGACACAAGGAGATTTATGTCTTGGAAATGACCCCGAGCTTAGCCATATGTCTTCTGGCTTTGTTTTGCTTTTTTGGCGAGATCCCTTCTGACCATCCCCGGATTTTTACGGGGCTCCCTGGATTTTCTGACCCTCAGAGGTTCCAAGTTCCCTCGTCCTGAGGTGATCGTGGCGGGGCTTCGGGACTTCAGCCTTGGCGTCTCGGCAGGGGGAAGTGAGCGAGACTTGACCGAGGCCCTTTCAGGTACTCGTAACCTTCGGCGTTTTGGATTGCGAACTGGGGGGTTGAAGCCGGTTGAAGCCCAGCCTTTTCGTTGAAAGCAAATGGGAAGACCCTTTCCTGGAGCGGTACCGGGCCCTGGGCGTTCGGTGCCAAGTCGCCAAGTCGCAGTTGCCGCCTGTCAGAACTGCGCGCCTGTGCTCAACGATCAGCAGCTGAGTGAAATCGCTGGATTGCTTCGGCAGCGACTTACTTTCTAGATACCTCGAGGCTCTGTTTCTGGTGACCCTTACTTGGCGATGGCAGATTGCATCTGCAATGCCTGCATTTCACGTGCCTCGGGGCAGAGCCGGCTCCATGTTCATCAGTTCGGGTTCTGTTTAGCCTTCCAAGAATTGTGCTTGGGAAGCATTTTCGATGCATCTTTGTGCCACCAACATCTTGTTGCGTGCTCCACCACTGTAGCGTGGCACTTTGCGCTCTGCCTGGCGGAAGGCCCATTTTTTTCGGACTCCCTTGTTGGACCGTTATTGGGCGGTTCTTTGGACACAGATCTCACTTGGTGAGGTGCCTCCCACGCGACCGGCGCTCGGGCCACCAAATCGTAGTTCGACTTCGCCCAGCCACCTTTCCGAACATGTCGATGCGGGAGCAAACAGTTAAAGCTTTTGGCAGGGGTTCAAGTTGCGCCCAGCTGTACGAGATTGCCCGTTGAAAGTTTGTTTGATCTTCGGGGCTGCTTCAATCAAACAGCCCCGATAGCCTAACATGATTTCTGCTAAAGCAGCCCCCAGTCCACTATCGCCAAGAGCGTATCCTTCATACAAAGGCTAGTGGCTGTATCATATCAGCGTGGTGAAGCGCCCAGCCTAGCGGCGCCCTTTGTTCAACTTGTTGTTTGGATTGTTTTCAAATCAAAACAGCCCCAAGAAGGGGAAGCCATGGTACTCCCATGAGAATCCACTGGCCTGGAAAAGCGCAACCCCCAGGCGCGGGCCGCCTCCAATGTAATTAGGCAATCAAAAGGCTACCGAAAGGGTGTGTGCCCTTTACTGGCCAAATTCAGGGCAGGCCCAAAAAACCGCATCTTCTTGGCCGGAATGTTGCTGGTGTGCTGGGCCACGTTCCAACTAGTTTCCCTTAGCACCTAAGAAGCAACATTGACCGCTCGTGCCCCCCCCCCCCCGCCCCGAAGCCATCCTTAAGTGTATTCAGGGATTGAACACACTCCGGTTTTCGTGGTGCACCCACGCAGCCACAGAATCCGATTGTTGCAAGCACCCCTGACCCGATGACACGCCTGCACCCGACTGGTTGGGCGCTCACAGGCGTGTCCACCTTGGCGCTCTTCTTCTACCAGCCTGCGGCTCTAAAGATCTTCGCGCCTTGCACGCTGCTGGTGGCCGCAGGGGATGCGGCGACTCGGGATTCGCAGACTCGCAAACTCGAGGTGGTTGGGGGCTCACCGATGTGCGTATCCCACACGGACAAAAGGATGTGGGTCCTTTGCTTGGGGATTATTTTTCTTAGGTGTTGGACTAGTTCTAGAATTTGCAGACACTTTCCCAAAAAACAAGCATGACATCTAAAATCGAGGGTCCTTGCTCTAGATGACGACTATCTTCCAGGGGATCCTTCTCAGGTTTTGGGCATTGGCTGCCACATTTCTTCAAGCAACCATCCCTGTGCTATGCAAAGGGGCGCCACCCCTAGCTTCCAAACCACAAATTCCAAGCACCGCAGGGCAAAGCTAATTCATTTCCCACTTCCTCTTGAAACCACATCAGGAAGGGCAACCACCCCGCACCCCTCAAACCACAAATCCAAACAAACAATCAGGCGGAAGTGGCAAGGTGATTTGGTCTTGGCGTTGACCTTTTGTCGATATGACAGGTGCATGGGAAACCACCCCGATTGCCCCCAAACCGCAAAGCCAAATCAAGGCAGCCTCCTTAGGGCTTCAACCCCCAAACTTTCAAACGGGGTATGGGTCAAAATTAAACCACCAGGAAATGGACCGCAGGTTTTGGTCCATGTTTCCACTTACTAGGGCAAGCTATTTGGGGTATCTATTCTTGACCCACAGCCAACTGAGGCCATCACCTGGGGAGGCCCCTTCCCAGCGCCATGGACGCACCTGGTGGGCGTTTCTGGCATCGCAGCGCTGAGCGCGGCCGCGTGGCTGGATGCGGACCCAGAGGCCTACCAGAAGCTCTGAGTCGGATCAGTGGCCAAAATGGCGCAAGTCGTGTCCAAACCATGTTGCTTTTTCCCTCCAGATGAACTGTTCAGAGGCAAAGGGCGGGAAATGGGCGGGAATTGTGCCATCTAGTTTCACCCTGGAGGGGTTCCAACTTTTGCAACTTTTGCGGCAACTGATAACATCAGACCTATGGGACTCCTGCATGTACATCCCCCCCGAACTTCTGAGGGAAAAATGGAGGCCCAGAGGGTGTCAAGGGCAAATACTTGGAGCATTGGTCCAATTTCGTTCATCACGAGGGTGTGAACTTGTTGGCACCAACTTGGGACTTAGCTCAACAATGGGAACATGGTCTGACTTGTATATGTTTGATTGTTTTGAATCTGTGCATACATATTGATGGGGGAGGTCCACTATAGCAGCCAGCGTTGGAGCCGCGGGAACGGTTGGCTTCAACTTGTGGCTGAAATTTGAACGGCCTCACGTGGCCAGACTTTTCGGCCGAAGTACCAGCTGATTTTGTTTGAGCCGTAAGGTGTTGGACGTGTTCTGTCAGGAACCCTGGTCGCTGGCCTTTCCAAGATACCCGTATACGTCTGGCCCAGAAATCAGCGGTTCTGCCGGCGCTTCGCTTTGGGTCGCCAACAGATGCCGATCCAGAGCTGTCAGCGGGAAATGGGGACAGCTCGTGGCTTTCTTTTGCACCAGGTGCTGCCTTGTTGGATGTGGCTTTGTTTTCTCAGCGTTTTGACTTTGCCAGCAACCTCCAGTGTTTTTCTTGTCCAGGCTCACTCGCTATATGCAGTGCGATTAATTATTGTTTGGACTGCACAACTACACCAGTTGCCCCTCCAAGCCGGCCGCGAGACTGGATGTCTTCCAGCGGCCAAAGTGGCGCATTGGACATGGGAGTGGACATGGTCCTGCGTTCCATCACACAGCGTTGGCTTTTCTATCCAACCATCGATCAAGGGTGGAGAAACCAGCTATCAGGCCCCTTGTGCCCTCAAACCTTCCAGGTTCCTCGGAAAAAGACTTGTGGTTCGAACATTTCTGCGCAAGAAAGTCGCGGGCCGCATAGGGTGACACAGCGGATCCCATGCGTGCGGAGCAAAAGCCGTGGCAACTGAGGGAGTACTGAGGGTGGATGTCATGAGCCAAAATTACGCATGGGACAGAGGTTGGACCATTTTCCCCAGGGTTACAACCTGCTATGCGCGTTGCGAATTCAAGTTGGAATCGAACATGGGCGGGTGCTTCCTTGAAAAGGCAAGCATGGTTATGACTTACTTTCTAAGGTGGACAATTCAACTTGAAGACATCCAAACGCTGGCTCAGAGTTATCACATGCCGGCCTTTGGACCTTTCTGCTCGCCAGGAATTGGTTCATGTTTCAGGGCGTGCTACGTAAATTTCCGCGTTTTGTTGCTGATAGTTATAGGCATCCAGTTGGTCCAATGTTCCGGAAGCTTGCTCCGGGTGAGGTGTTTGGCTGTTGGGCCAGTGGGGCAGGTGAGAAGGAATCGCCCGCTTGCCGACCAGAGTTTGCCATCTACTCGAAGCGGGATGAACCTTTTACTCGAAGCCCGAAAAAGATTCGCGAGGAAACGCGAAAGAAAGATTGAACAGGTCCGAGCGAGAGGCCAACACGAAGCAGTCACCCCAGCTCTCGCTCCAGCCTGTCCATGCGGAACGTGCTGCGAGCACAGAGGTGGTGACTGGCTGTGTTTTTATGGGTGCTTTATGGTATCTTTTGGAGGTTGATCTGAAGGGAAGCCAAAAAGAACCCCATAATTTGGGGGGTTCCTCTGGCCATGCTCGCCCACTTGTTGCCGAAACTGTTGCGGCACTGCCGGAGGAGCGGCAGTCATATCCTCCGGGCACAGTTTGGCCTTGGTACGTTCTAAGGAGATACGTTGACCCTATTTTAAGTTTTACCCCTCAAAGACCAATTCCCAGAGCATGGAATTCAAGGAGCCATAGTGGACTTGCGAATCTCAGGGCTAAGATGGCTTTTAAGTTTGTATCAGGTCATTTGCTGATGGGTTTGTTCGCATGTTTTTAGAAAGAACTTCTGAGCAACTCCGTTTCAGCCACGGCCCCACAGGAAGCAAGCGACCAGTCCAGGGGTTTCCCTTTCACCTGGGGAATCATGCCGGTTACAGCCAAAGAGACACGGCAACTCCAAGGTACAGAACTGCTAGCCGCCTGCTGCTTGCCCGCAGAGGGAGAAAACTTGCATGCCTTTGGCAGGAAATGAGGAGGGTTGGATCTGGCCCCACATGGAACCCGAAGGGAGGTCCCTGGCTTGGATCACGTTCGAGTGGCTTGCGTTTCACGCTCCCTTTTTGCTTTCAAAGTTGCCTCTTGACAGCTTTCTAAAGATGGACGATTCAGTACTACTCGGTTGTCCGTTGTCAGGGCCTGACACAATGCTAGGCAGCCTTTCAACCGGCAATTCGCACAGAAAGGCAAGGGGAGGAGGCAGGCCTCCACCTTCCTCCCTTCCTCCCTCCCTCCCTCCCTCCTTTCTTTCGAACTTTCTTTCTTTCTTTCTTTCTTTCTTTCTTTCTCTGTCTCTCTCTCGCATTCTCTCTCTCAGCAGGACTGTTCAGTGGCATCCTCTTTTCCGTTTTCTGCGGCGGGTCTCCCACCAAAACCGGGTTCCCGTGTTCAAAGTGTGAGTCGGCGAGCTTTTGCCGGGTTGTGGTAGTCTTCCTCCAAACGGGGTGGTTGCACACCTTGGGCGTGTGTCAAATATCAGGATTCAGCCCCCCGACAACCTTTGCTATTTCCTTTGGGTTCCCCTCAAAACCCAGCAGCCACACACCCATTTCCAGCAAGAACAGCCCAAAATCAACCACCCACAGCAAACACAACACGAGACCTGCTCGAGGATGCCAGAAAGAGAGAGAGAGAGGGAGAGAACAACCACAACACACCCATTTCCAAGCGGAGAGTTTCTTTTCTCCGAGGTTCCCGGGCTGCCAGCTGCCTTGGCTCTTCATAGGCGCGGGCCGGGACGGCCTTCGGGCGAAATTGTTGAGAGCGGTTTGTCCAAGCAGGAAGCGGGGTCCCTGCTGGGGTGTTGAGCTGTTGGGATGCCAACTGATTTTCTTTAGGGAGCCCTGCCAGATGGAGTTGGGCACCTGGACATGCCAGCTGATTTAGAGGAACTCCTTGTCAAGCAGGCGGTTCTCGGATGTTTTGGGAACCCTGGAAAAGCAAATGCATTTCGACAGCATCGGGGCCCTTGTTGCTTTTGCCTGGAAACGGACACGCAGCCGGCTGCCTTTCTCAGAAGCTTCACGTGAGGTTAATTGACCAATGACACTGATGCAGTCTGACCCATCTGTTCACCTCAGAAGTGGACCCAATGGGTTTCTTTCGCGGCAGGCATGGAGTACGTGCGGACCAACTCGCTGCAGTTGGCGCAGCAGTGCTTGGCGCCTTGGAACTGCAGGTGTGGGATTTCTGTTGGACCAAATGCGTGAGCAGCCAGTGGATTTCACTCTTTTTCCATTTTGTTTCGTGGGTATCTGGTGAAGCGTATCCGAGGGAATCTGTGTGTGAGCCTGCCAGAATTTGTATTGACCGCAAGAAAAAGGGTTCCGATTCTTTTCTTTGGTGCATTTTGCTTGGACATTAAGACTTTAACTTTTTGCTAACTGACGGGTTTTCCGTATTAAACCACTAAAAAATAAACTTTTAGCAGGGCAGCAGAAAGGTTCCGTTTTTTTTGCTGCCAGGGTCACTGGACCAGTGGGAAGGTGCCAGGTGGAGGAGGAGGATGAAAGGACTCATTGATCAGAAACCGTCACAAGCCACATGCTCGGACATGTGAGGCGAGAAGCCCAGCTTGAAATCCAGAGACATTTGGGCTTTGATCCATCAGGCATGCATCTATATTATTATTTTGATTATTCATATTAATCAAGTATTTTTATTATTCTTAATATTATTACTGATATCATAATAATTATCATTTTTATTAATATTTTTTTATTATATATGGGGTTACTCGGGAACTGATTACCCTATCTCATTGAGCTAGGCCGATTAGCCGGACCAGCAGCTAAACCAATCTCTTCGTGGTCCCAATATGGTCACAATAAAAAGTGAGCTCTTCAATTGAGTATGTTTCTCCGAAAGACAGTTGTCTAAACTTGGAAACGCTGCCAGTTTCTTTTTTGTTTTGACAACCATGCCATGAGAAACATGTGATCAAGTTTTGAGCACGCAGCCGCCCTGGGTCAAGGAAGGGCGGGTTCACTCCTCATGAGCGGTTTTTTTGCATGTGCTGTTTTGCATTTACGGTTCAGCTCGGTTTGGCGACACTCGTGAATTAGCTGAGTTGTGGATCGAACTGGCAGGTGAGATTGCAATCGTGAATGCATCTACACTTTCCTCGAAGACCTCAACGTCGAAGGAGAAACGCACCACTTTCTTGCCGTTGTTGATGTGTGGTTCTGGGTTGTCAGATACTACATGGGCCACTTCTTGGCTTGCGATGAGAAGGGCTGCAAATTTTCCTCCTGGTAGCTACACCACTCCTGCGTGGTCGGACGCCCGGATGCGCTGGTTGGTTGGCTGAGAGAACTATTGGCCAAGTCGGGAGACTCTTGCGCTGAATGCATGAAGTACACAGCGCGTTCCTGCAAGGCGACGCTGCTGTCATGGCTTGCAACGAGTGAGATTTGCTCATGAAGAACGACGCTTGCTGGGTCATCACCTGGATTCCAACATGGTGTCCATGGCCACCTATTCGCGGCATGTGTATGCGCCGATTGCCGTAAAGGTCGCTCGATTCCTTAACTCCATCAAAAGGGGAGACCATGATCCTCAGATGCCCCTAGCTGAGCGTGTGAGAATCAGTTTGGCGCCCGCTGGTGAAAATCAGCAGGAGGAGGATTATGCCTTGGAAGAGGATGTGGATGCCGAGTCGCAAGAGGAGGATATGGCAGAGCTAGAAATTTGTTTGGAACCTTCAGACAGAGCCGGCTTTCCCGCCACTCCGACCGCTGGCTCACGCCGAATTGTCAATGGCTTCGGCTTTGTAGCAGGATCTCCAGGAACTCCAATCTCTCGGATCATCACTCAAGGTGCTCGTCGGGCCCGATGTCGGTTTGCCCTGCATGCCGGGCATCTTCAGTCACTGGGCTCCACATGCTTGAATCGGCAGCTTGTCATCCTGACGAAGATGGCCTCGGCAACCGGGCAGTCGAACCGATGTGAACCCACCGCAAACACCTTGGCGTGTTTGGATCTGCTGAGGAGGTACTCCTGAATGCCGGCCGCAATGCGCTCACACAATTCCAAAGGCCAGATCTGCATGTCGGCGCTCTTCACTACGTGAGCGGCATGTCCCTTCCATTGTCCGATCACCGCATGTTCATGTTTTCCATCGCATCTCAAATTGCGCAAAATGAAGAGGAACTGTTCATGCAAGGCACGGATCTCCGTGCTTTTGCGCACCGGCAGGAAAGGTTCCTTTCCCGTCCTCAGTCCAGTCATGCATTGTTCGAAGACCACCTTGAGCACGTGCCCCTCCAATTGCTTCCATTGTAGAGCCCCGGCTGGTTCCTCCACTAGGAATGCCTTGCCGCGCTCCAACTGCGACAATGCAACTCGACCACTGAAGCGTCCCAGCGCCCTGCTCCTCATCTGGGATCTCTTCCAGGCTTCGGGATTGATCTGTTGCCCCATTTGCAGTATCCAGTACATGGTGGCGCCATGATCACCACCTCTGGATTGTTGCGTTCCAGATAGGCGAACAGAAAGTCCACAGATCAATACCGCACATGATCTCAAAGTTGATTCCGGCTTTCCTGCCGAAACGTCGAACCACTACATTTGAAGTGGTTCCACTGCCTCCAAACAGCTCGCACACATCCACGTGACTGTCCGCCTCCTGACTACTGACAGCCACCAGCTCGGCGATCTGATAGATTTCACGCTCAGCCCAAATCCCTCGGCAACAGGAGTGGCTGGAGCAGTGCGGCAAGGCGGGCGGGAAGGGCAAGGGAGAAGCTCGGACAACCCGTGGGGTTCATCGCTGCAAGCTAAAGGCTCCGTCAACGAGGCAGCAAAACGGAAGCGAACAACAATCCACGAAGATCGTAAGATGCCTTATCCGTCTCTTTCTTTCACAGCCGCCTTCAACACGGCTGAGGAGCTGCGCGATGCCAACCTGCAAGAGACGCTTGTGGATGATGTGGCCACACCAGCCACGCCCCAGTCTGAGCGGGTGTGGAGCACTTCGGCTTTATCGCCTGTCTCCAGATGCGTGTCGTGTCTTTGACGAGCACTTCAACATCCACGTGCGCGCGCAGGAGGCCAGTCATCTGTCCAATCAATTGCAGGCGAAGTTCCATGGGAAGGCGAAGACAAAGCATCTCCGCTTGGCCTTGGCCTTGCGCTTGTTCGAGGAGACTCGGCTGCTTCCAACCCTGGACAGCCTAGCTGCACGGTCCAAACTAGCCAGCCTCTTCTTGGCCCGTGTGGCTTGTCTGCTGCAACATTTGAGATTGGGGGATCGTTGTCCAAGGAAAGAACGCCCATGGCACACCGGTTCACCGCTGACGTGCCGGATTTCAACCAGCTAGCGAACATCTTGGCTGAGATGCATGGCTACAAGAGCTACTTGCACGGGATGGTCCAGCAGCTGCCCAGCCGGTCTTTGCAGCCCCAGCCGCAGATGTCTTGCGTGATGGGCAGGCCATGGCGAGCTATGCGACGTCGGGCCATGCCGGCCCCCTCGAAACTGTGGGATTCCTTGTTTGCTGTTGACTTCCACCAGTGTTTCTTCCGAGGCGCGCGGCCGACTAAGCGCCGCTGGCTTTGCAATGTGCCCATCCTCCTTAACATGCACCGATGGCAAATGGGAGTTTGCCACAGCTAGGAGGCAAACTACCCAGCTCAGCTCCCTCAGGCTGTGGTTTCGCGCCTTGTTCAACACTTGCAAAGCCATGGAACCCACCTTCAGGTGGCAATGTCAGCTAGGCCGCAAGTGTTAGCGCAGCAGCGAGCTCAACACAAAGCCTTGTAGCAGCTCATACCTAAGTTCAATGATGTCGTGTTTTCCAAGTTGCCGCCTGGTGAGCCACACAAACTGCTGGACGAGCAGAGATCTCCACAGCGACTCGGGATCTCTGCAACCCATGCCTGACGCAGAAAAGCTTATGCCGGATGTAGAAAAAGAAGCAGGGCACAAGTATGGCATACACCACTCGCCTGAAGAGTGGATGTGGGTTGCAGACCAATTGCAACACCCGATGGATGCTGTCAGCTGTCTACCTGATCAACTCAATTCACTTTGTTGACCGAAGGTCCCGCCAAGGTTTCTGTGAATAGGCTCAAAACCATCCACCGAATAAGGGAACGTGCTTGCGCTTTGGAGGCCGGAGAGAACAGGCTACATCTCGAGTTGCCTGACCATGCGCAGCACGTAGTGGCAGACAAACGAATCTTGCTCTTCCAGGAACTTCTCAGTGAAGCTAAGTTTGGACGATGGAATCCCTCCTACTTCTCCCTTGTTCCATAGCACCTTAAGACCGCCCTCTTTGTCAAGAGAGGCCCTGCTCAACTCCGCAGTGTGGAAACGCAAGGTCTTGGTGGCGCAGATGAACGCCAACTGACTCCGCACGTGGACGAGTTGTGAGCGGGTTCACTAGAGGAGGTAGATAGAGGCTTCCTGAGGGGACCTTTCACTTCCGACAAGGTGGACAAATTTTTTGGTACCTGCAAGTGCGTAGTCACGCAATGCTTTGCTTTGATGCAAGGCTCATTGATGACGCCAAAGCTTCAGCGGTTAATACAACATAGGCATGATGTCTGAGCTCCAGCTACGGATTTTTGACTTTCTTTCAACTCTTGCAAGCTGGCTATCTAGTCTTGCTACATGCCAGGAGGGTGTTGAGGTACCGCTCACCAGTGGCCAAGTGGCGCCCGACTTTCCGCTCCGAAGTGTCTGGGTAGGTGTTAAGCACGAGCTCCTTGCCGCTCATGGTCCTGGCTGTCCAGGAGCCGGTGTCAGGAAAGGTTGAATTCCTCACTTCGCCTTCGCTCCCGTTTGGGGCGGTTTTTAGTGTGATCGCCTTCAATCGCATGAGCCTTGCGCTTTGGTGGTTGGTAGTCGGTCTCAGTGCAATTTGCAGAGTCTTCTATGATGATTTTCCCTTACTTGAGCCAGAGTGGTCAGCCAGCGTGGCCAACAATGCAGTGCAGACCTTCCTCTCCATTTTGGGGTGGAGGTTTGCCCGGACTGGCAGAATCACTCTGTCCAATAAGGAGGGTCGGTTAGAACGCATTCTATCCTTGATTGAGGTGGTAAAGGGTAAGGGCCCAGTGACCAAGTCGGAGGCTGCGGTCATTCATGGCTTGTTGAACTTTGCTACCAACTTCTTAGGATTCTTCCAAGGAAGGGAGTTGAAGCTTTTGATACGTGCGTTCTACCAGCTGTCTTCAACAGGCTCTGGTGACCAGGAGAGCCAAATAATATTCCAAATGCAGTCTTACGCGGCGCTACTCGCGCGCTTCTTCTATAAGGATAGGATGGTTGGCCGATGTGGTAGCTTCTATAGATAACCAGTCTGCAAGGTTTACGCTAATCAAAGGCGCTTCAGCTTCACCTTCGATGCTTGCGCTCGCCTGTGCATTCGCAGAGATTGAGCGCTCTCATCCTTTCCTCTGGTGGTCGGAGCGCGTGCCCTCATCATCGAACCCGGCCGACCTTCCATCAAGGAACTTGGTGGCCGAAGCGTGTGCCCGCTTCAATTTGAAAGATTACGGCACGGCCGAGCTGAGTGAAGATCTCCTTCAGACCTCCTTGAATATCTCTCTCTCGCCCAAGGCCTGTCTCAGATCCGAGGGGCTCAACGAGCTTGTGAAAGCGAGCAAGCTGGGGGATGAGTCGGGCTTTCAAGCTCGGGGCTGCAGACACCGACTAAGCTCGACAAGCCTCTTCGAACGGGGCGAGCTGGCACGTTTAAAGAACTGCAGTGAATTCGCTCTTGACAACTGGGCGAAGAAAAGAACACAATGCTGCTTGAGCTTTGTTGTAGACCTCGGACATGTGATGCATGGGGAGCCTAAGCAAACACACATTCGAGCGCAGTTGGCCTTCATGCACCGCATTGCGCCAACGGCTCATTTCCTTTGTGGTTTGCCCGGAGGGTTTGTCCTGAGGGTTTGGATCAAACGTCATCAGCCGCAAAGAGCTTTTTGAAATCTTGGTGATGCTAGCTGGATAGCTCGGTACGATTCTTATCATTATTAATACTATTATCATTGTGATTATTATTGATATTATTAAATAGGTTATTATTGATGTTTTGTCATTATTATTAATATTAGTATATCTGGTATTTTTAATAACAATAATAAAGAGTATTAATAGTATAAATATTTAATAAATTATTGTTATTATTATTAACAATGCTTTTCTTATTGTTATTAATATTACTAGCATTATTAGAATTATTCTCATTCTTATTAATACTACAACGATTTTTTAATATTATTTACATTTTTTTATTACTACTATTATCATTAAACAAATTGTTATGTGTTGAATTCCAATATTATTATTATTTTTAAAATAGTAGCACTATTTCTATAATTATTATTACACGTATCATTACAATTATTGTTATTATTATTCGTATTATTATGAATGTGTATATATATATATATATGTTTATGCATGTTTTTTCTTAATTCCCAAAAACAGAGCTCATCATCCAAACACACCGGCAAGGCCTCGCAACTATCTCGTAAAAGGTTCTGGCAGTTTGGCTTGCCATGCTGGGTCCCCTCACAGTTGGGTTGTTGCTGTTGGCTTAGCTTCAGTCGAGGCCGCCTCCGGTTTTATGCACTGAGGAGTGCGCGCGTACACTGATGCCTTCAGATCCGCGGGTATTCAATGAGAAGCTTGGCAGTGCGTTTGCTGGGGAATGTTCAACTGGCTTGGATGAGTTGAAGAATGCTAAGGGTTTCCATGGATGGGCCTGTCAGAAGTCCCCTTTGCATTCCTGGCACTCTTGGAGGGTCCTAAAAGTCATCCCCACCCGCACTCAACCAGCAGACCCGGGCCCCACTTAATGAGTTGCTTGCTTGCCCTTTAGGCCGCCGACCTTTGAGCGTGTTCGGCCTTCTGCCTCCCGGGTTTTGCTTCATGTCCAGTCGAGATTTCCAGAAGGTGAAACCTTCTCCATTGCCTTTGGACTGGCAGAAAATGGAGCTCCTAGTTCGAGATCTTCATTTCTCCCTGTTGCGGGCTTTTGCACACTGTTGCCTACTGGTCTGGCCTGGCTTGGGCTGACTTCCCCAGGAAATAGGAGTGCGTCCTTAGTCCTGAGAATCATAGTGATTCAGTGCGCTCAGGCTAGGGGTAGTTGCCTATCACAAGCGGAACTACGAAGAGGCAGTGGGCGAGCGGACAGAAGGGTGGGTGTTGCGGGCGTTGCGGAGCGAATAAGTGGATGTCAGAATCTTGTATTTGCGAAGGTTTAGCGGATCCTTGCCGGGCTGGGGGCGGCCGATTGAGTCGGATATCTATATATATCAGTGCATGTGACCTAGCCTCAAAGTGCATAGTGAAACAGGCCAGGCCCCCTTAGATCAGTGGTAGAACAAGCCCATAATTACCAAAGTGGATGGACCGAGGTGAGCATTGCTGCCAAAGCTTGAAACATAGACATGTTGAGCCGTATGGGCTTGCCAACAGGGGTTTCAATGTGGATCCGTTGTATAGGAAATAAATATAACCTTAGCTTGTTTTGGTTGTAGCATAAAACCCTAAGTCATGGCTCCATTTTGGCCAACGTTGCCGATGGAATGAAGATAAGGTGCTGAACCAGTACAAATCGTTTACTCCTGTACTCTCCTCACTTTCATTTGGGCGTACAGCACCCCTCAACCCCGTTCCAATAATTCCAGCGCTTGTGTAAGGAACTGTTTGGTCAGATTTGAGGCTGTCCAGCTCCTACGACGCGCCATCAGCTTGTGCAGCAGCCCAGACGCTGCTCGTCTGCGAGCCAGGGGTGGGAGGAGTCCCGAGAGTGTAGAAGTTCTGGATATTTTTTTCCGTTGGTTTCGGTGTCCTTCTGTTGCAAACGGACAAAGCTGACAGGCATCCTGTTGTTTGAACCATAAGGCGAGGGTAGTCTTTTTGAGAAGCTTTGCTTTGGCTTTCAGACTCCCGAACGCGTACTCGAGGATAGTCCATAGCTGTTAGGCATGCAGCATGTAGACTGGCTTTGGTAGGCTTGCTGCTCGCCTCGACCGGTTGGCCTCCAGTCACCGATCCTTTTGCTTGTGCACGAGGCTTTGTGACCATCTCGGTTGCCGCCGGCGTGTATCGAAGCGAGGATGTCAGCCATGGCCTACTGTTTGACATCCTACATTCTGACACGCAGAGAAGTTTTTTTGCCGCATCTCATTTTGGCCCAGTTGTCCGTTTGGTGTTTACCTAATGGGTTTGTGGTTCCTGTTTGTTTTTTGTGTCTGGCTTTGCTTTTTCCGTGTTGTGTTGAGGGAGCCTCAAGCAAACCATCCCCATCATTCTGGCACCCATTTTTTTAACTGTTCAATTGGCCGCCCCAGTCATGGGTGGAATCACTTTCGCTTCTTCCAGGGATTCCGCCCTTTGTCCGTTTCCTATTGGTTTTTGACCAAGGAATGTCAACCGCAAAATGGGTTTTCTTCCAGTACCAGGTCACGTTTTTGCCTAAGGCAACCTGTTTTGGGGATGTTGTTTGATGGCAACCTGAGGGGGACCACCCATTCTGGAGGCTACTTTGGAGGAGCCATTTGGTTGTTTCTCTCACCTCTCCATTTCGAGGCGCGAAGATTTCCAAGTTCAGCGGCTCCTCCCTTTTGATAGATAGCTTACAACAATCACATGTTTCTTTACGTAGTACATGCCGTACTATTCTCTTCCATTGGCTTAAGAATATATATATATATATGTGATTTCCCGGTTGGTTTTAAAGGGAACCTGTCACTAGTGACCATATTTTCACTTTTTTCCAGGGGACTTAAGCAAATGGAGCCTCTCTGATTCCAATGCCGGCCAACCGAGGAGGCAATGCATACGAACCTGGGCCACGCACTGCTGAAGCGCGGGGGCGGAGGGGGGAGGGTCAATTGGTACCAAAAAACGCGGAACACTCCATAAGGGCGGCTTCCCCCCAAAAGAAATCAAAGAACAAGGCACAATTTTCTTGTAACTTGGATAGTTGGATGATAAGGAGGGACATTGGGATTGTGTGAGCCTCGGAAAGGTTCGATGAGGACCTTCGATGAGAAACCTTAAAATCAGAAGGTAAGAGCCATTTCTGCAGTTATGGCATCCTCCACAACAATTATATACATGTCTTTCCGACCCAGCTGTTCTAACAAATAGGTGTTGTTGTTTTTTATTTTTGGGTGTGTCGCCATGTCAGTCACGTCAACCTGAGGGGTAAATGTCTCGCCTTGCCCTTTAAAGACAAGTGAGAGGTGACTGAGGCGTAAAGCAAGCTAACGCATCACAACTGCAATGTTGACCCCAGGCCCGGATGAATGATTAATGGATGGCTCGGGGGTGTCTACTGTTTTCGCCAACAGGGAAGACCGCTCTCTGTACAGAGACACCCTCCCAGGACCCAAGGTTTTACTAATCCGGCATTCTCATTGGTAGTCATTGCCTTCTTGGGGCTGATTCCTTTTTGTTGAAGTTGGCAACCAAACCAGTTGTTGGCCGTAGGTGCGAGCAGCATGGCGTTGCCCTGGAGGCCGGGCGCTTTTTTGTTGCTGACCGAGGTGTGCTTCCCAACATGGCGGACTCCGTGTTGGTATTTCAAGGGGGGGCAACCGGACACCCTCAATCACTGCCTAAGAAACACCCAGGTGCAGGCTGCAAAGAGCCCCCAGCAGATCCACTTTTCTCTTGAGGGAGCTTAAATTTGGGACCTCATTCAAGGTACTGGGTTGTTCAAAGTGAACCGGCAAAATCCCTATGCCAGCTTGATTACGTGGTTTCCCGTATGTTTCCGTTGTGGTGGTGCAACATGGACTTTATCAAGTTGGATAGTGATGTGTCCACCAGATCCACCAGAAAGTGCAGCGCCCAATGGGTGTAGGCTTCTCTGCGTGTTTAAGTTGACCCCTTTTCACCCGGTTCCGAAATGGGGTGTCAACCAGGTTGATTACTCCGGGGTTGATAGTAGCTCGTGGCTCGAAGGTTCAAAGGAAAGGCAACAGGAAGCGTTTGGGGTCCAAATCCCTCTTTTGACGAGTGGCGGGACCCACGCATACTGGAGTCTTCGCATGCTGCTCCTTTGGGCGAGTCCAATCGGTCGCTCGGAGTTGGTCTTGGACCGAAAGGAGCATGAATCGCACATGACCTCTTGACAACTGAGCACGCGCACATGCGGGGCTTCTGAGGATTTCTCGAAAACCCCTAGAATGGTTGGCTTCCGTTGCTTCCATCCAAACCACCATTTTGAGCACCTCCGGGTTGGTTCAAAGGCTAACCTTAGAAAAGGAACACGTCGCCAATTTGGAGTCTCCATTATAAATGTTATCCCAAACTATATTTACATATAAAACCATATTTAACACATATAAATTTCCATATTCAATCTATAGAATAACATATTCATATAAAACCATATTTTATCCAAATCTCTTTGTTGATGACACCCATTTGCCCCCCACGGCCAGCCCCCTCCCCCCCCCGGCTGGATGGAGGCCTTCCGCAACGCCCAGCGCCTGGACCCCAAGAGCTCCTCCGCGCTGGCCGGGGTGGCCTTTGCGCTGCACCTCCAGGCGCGCGCGAGCCGCGAGGATCGGCACCGGCGTGGGTCAAGCGCAGGGCGTCACCGAAAGGGGCGGGGGAAAGGGGCGGGTTTTTTGGGTTTACTAGGTCCCCCAGTGGTGCCTTTTTACCGTTTCTTTTTTGGGGGAGGGTTCCCCTGCGAAGATAGACAACGGGAAAAAAGGGTACCCTTATTTTAACCTCTCTACTGGAGGACCTAGTTTAGACATCATCACCATCACCTGTTGCAAGGCCCATCGCCTGCATGAAGGGGACATGGAAAGCCCGGGAGCACCCAACACCCCGAACATGGCATTTTTTGGTAGAGGGTTCTACGTCCTTTCTTTCGCGGTATGGCAAACCCTTTGGTAGAACCATGCAGGCGGTCAGCTGAGGCTTGTAAAAAAAGCTCACCCATGATGCGCTTCACTTTCCTTTTAAAAGCAAAAATGTAATATATATATATATATAATTCTATAGTAATCTGCCCAGATCAAAGCTGACGGAGTTTTAGAAAACTATCCTCTTGAAGTGGTCCCATATTTGTACAGGTTTTCGCTTTCGGGTCATTGGCTCCAACATAGCTGATTGTTTGCATCTTCTGACCAAACCTCCGCTTAGAATGGACAGGTTTAGGGTATACGGTATGGGGTTTATTGACTCACGCTTATAGGGAACGGACGGTTTTATCGTAGATGTTTGGTCAATGAATGGCATTGGAAACAAGTTTTTGTTCCCTGTTTGTTGCTGTTGTATTGTTTTGATTGGAATTCAAAGTATTCGGTAAGGATTAACACAACAAACAATTAATTAGAGGTCTTGTCTCAAAATAAGTTTGAAAATAGTTTTAAAGGGGGATATTTTTCCAACATTGTGTTTGTTCAATGTTCTGATTAGAATTGAACTGGAATTCAATACGAAGCAAAACCTAGTAGAGTTTCTAGTTTAAAGATAATGTCAATAGGATGTCCTTGCCGAACAAGATGTGTAATGAACATTATTAGTTGAAACTAGATGTTCAATCGGGTAGATTGTTCAGCTCAATATAATTTAACAAACATATCTCGAATGTCTAGTTTTAAAGACAATTTACATGGGTTTGTTTAAAAGACAGTTTAATAATTGGAATTATGATTTCAATTTAGATGTTTAAAATGATGTTGTGTTTCCATGATGAATTGTTGACATTTCTATTTAGAACTTAAATGTAGATTAACAGTGAGCAACACCTGATATAGTTTCTAGACTTCAATATATTTTGAACAGGATTTCTATTTTGAAGAACATTGTTTTTGTTTCCGTTCTTGACGGCTTGCGGTGGGATCTTTTTTTGCCTGCATACCATGCGAACAAGATCGGCGTCACTTGTAGTACTTGGAACACTTCCATCGACTTCCCTTGCGTCGTTCTTGGAATTCTTCTACGAGCCTGCCCCCCAAAACCCTCCCCAGCACCCCAAAGAAAGAAGTGCCAATCCAGGTATTTTTGCCCTAGCTATGAGACGCCTCACGAGTAACTCGTAAATTTCCCACCCATGTTGCCTGCAAAGAAACCGAGCACTGGCTGAGGTAGAATCTGTTACTAAAGCAGTGAAAGGGGCTTTGTCTCAAGAACGTGGATCCGACATTGCCATACTGGAAACCAACCGTGCACAAAAAGTAGTTCCGTACATCGGTCGAGTTTCAATCCTAGTGATTCTGCTCTTGCACGTGCATGGCCAGACAGCGTTGCCGTGGCCAGACGGTTTCACTCGTTGAACATGTTGTTGTTGACGCAGGATAGCCTTACCTGCACCACGCTAGTTCTAAACTGGATGCGCGAAATCAGACGCAGCTGGTCCAGACTTGCTCTAGGCATTCTGCTCAAGCAACGATCTTGCTTTCCCCGGGTCCAGCTGCACCCCCGGCCATAAATGGATTGACGTCCATCAATCCAGGCTAAAGATTCGATTTTTCAGGGTCACTGACTGAATGTGTCGACCATTGCCAGGGCAAGCTGGATGAGGCGCGAGCAGTTTGACAGTCGAGAGGTGGCTCATGCCGGTAAACTAACTGCGAGTTGCCCCCCCCCAAAAAAAACAAACAAAAAGGATCCCTAGAGCCGGTTGAGGTCCTTACCCACCCCCCTCGCCGCCGTACCGCGGCAACCAGGGAAATGAAGAGGCGATGCGAGTATGCTGAGACAGAAACCTCGGCAACATCATGCCAAATGACAGCTTGCTCTTTGGATTCCACACAGTTTTTTCAACCCACCCAAAGCAGGAAATAACTTGACCTTGGTCCACAATGGCCAGGGAGTGCGCATGCGTGCCTTTTCGTGAACTGAAGCACGTGCTTGCTTAAGAGTCAGAGCCATATTTTTCTGCCAGAATTGGGGGTGGCCCCGGCAGCTTCTATCAATAGTTTGATTGCCCTCTTGTGAGACTGGATGCACGGAATTGGAGAGGCACCAGCCCCTTTCCCGAACAGGTAGGGTGACCTAGTGATGCTGACAGCTGGCCGGTTTGAAAAGGCCAAGCAAAGGCCAGCTTATTGCTAGGTGATCCCGATTTCTTCCTCAAATCCAATGACCTAGAATGAGTAAGCCCCTGGTTGATTTCGCAGGGGGGCCATTTTGGCGGGCATCCTTTTGAGCGAAGTTGCCCTCCCACCAACTAACATGGAAGTGCAAAAGGACCCTTTCCGAGAGGAAGGTAGTTATTTTTTAAAAGATTGTGCACTTCCATTGTAGTCGGCGGGAGGGTAGTTCTTTGTCGCATAATTTCAGTGATGTTCTGTTTGAGAACCCCCAGCTTGGTGCATTACCCAAACCTCCCGCCGCTCAGCGTCAAAGGGGCTGATGCGTATGCATCGCCAAGAAGATCTATGGAACATCTACCTCAAGTTCCATTGTTTGCGTCCATCCGGCAAACACAAAACTGCAGCTTCACCCACACTCATGACATGTGTTTACTCCACTTACTACAGTCGAGCCAAACCAATCCATATCAGCACTCAACACACTTCGACCTCATTTTCTTCGCCGCCGTCCGCGCGGATCTTGCAGCATGGCGCCTTGGCAGGGGCATCTCACTTTGGCGCTGCCTGCGGCGCAGGCGCTCGCGCCGGCGCCTGCGCCGGCCCGCGCCAGGGCCGCGGTCGCGCTCGAGGCCCAAAGCCCCACGAGCGCGGGGCGCGCCCAGGGCTTCGGAAGGTGGCGCCGCTTCGTGCCGCTGGCCGCGCCTTGGCGCTGGAGTCCGGTTTGGCCTGGGCCATCCTTGGAACAGGTGTTCAATCAACCCGCTCTTGGTCCCTTACAAAACCAAAGCGAAACCGCACATTTGTTGGCTGCCGTATTTCGAGACAAGCCTGCTTGGCCAGCGTCAGGGAACGACTGGTCATGCATCCGGCAATCGCCACATGGTTGTGATGTAGCCTCCTCCGTGGAGGGTTTCCCCTCAACCACCGTGAGGGTAGCTTTGAGGGCATTGTCCTGGGCCCAGCTCCACGTTTTGCGGAGAGGGGAGGCCAACTTCGCCCGAGGCGAGTCTCTTCAGCCGGCGCGCGCTCCGCGCTCGTGGGTCGCGGTCCTTGGGCGTGCGCCGTGTGGTGACGACTTCTGAGCCACCAACCGTGCAGGAAGAGGCAGGACAGAACTTTCTCTCCATTTAAATAATATGTTCTTATTTCCCCTTGTTGGTGTTCAAGGAAATCTATCACCAGTATTGGACATATGTATTATGTTCTTCTACTTCTTAAGCAAATAGAAGTTACCTTCTCTTCTCACATGAGCATGTTGACTCTTTGAGTAGGTGGTTCTACTACCTGCTTTTGCGGCTATAGCACGGGCAATAGAAATCATCTTTTTCAACCATCGAACAGTCACTGGCTATTGGGCACTGCTCACATGCAACCCAACTAGCAGGGGTGCAAAAACAGACATGGAAACCAAGCACTGGTCGGCTGATTCAGGTTTGCTGGTTTCTGGAGAGTGCATGTTTGTTTGGTTTCTTCTAGGGACTGAGACCTGCAGTGGCGTACTTTTGTTCTTGAGTGTGGATGGCCACCTGCCACTGCACGGGTTTTCCGCCAACTCCGGAGCCTCAATCGGTGTGGAAGGCCGTCATTGAGGTTCCAGGTTTGTTTTTGGGACTGTGCCTGCTGACTACCTGCCCTCCAGAAAATCACATATGGAAGCTGGCGGGAAGGTGTGAAAGTTGGGGCCCTGTCCACCTCCATTGCTGGAACCAGCTGGATACGGCTGTGGCGGGTGTCCTTTCGATTGTCCCTTACCAACCAACAGGGGGTCCGAATCCCATGCTTCTCGCCAGGCCCAAAATGATGGCGAGGTCGTGGAGGAAGTTGCGCAGATGTTGCAAGAGACGGCGCCCCGGATCTGTGGCACCAACCTTTTTGGCCAGCCTCTTTTATATACTAGGATGTCTGGTGTTTAAGATTTGAAGGCTCGCAAACATGGTCCATAATCAACCACATGATTTTTCGTTGAGGGCAGAAGCTGCGGTACTTTAGTTCCGCGCGGTGTTGGTTGTTGTTGCCCCCTGGGTTTGTTTGATTTCCGGCAATTGCAGGAGGAAACCGCAAGCTAGAACGAGCACACCTGGGGCTAAAACAAGCTTGCAAGTGTTGTTGGTTCCTTACTTGTTGATTCCTTTTTTCCGGTGGTGAGATATAGAGTAATTTGCCCAGAGTAATGTGTACTGGGTTGCCAGTTCACTGATCGTAAACGGAACCACCGGCGGATACTCGTAGGTTCTTTCACCGGGTTCCCTTGAAAGCCAGTTAGATTGGTTTCACCTTTGCCACCGCGCAACCAAGGTTAACAGCACGACCTGCCCTTTGTCACGCAGGTTGAAGGATGTCGTCTTTGTTAAGGAGCGGAGGGTAGATGGACAGGCCGCAAGGTTAGGAAGCATGGCTCATGCGAGATCATGAAGTCTCGAGGTAGGGCTTGCAAGCAGTTTGGTTGTTCATGTATGAATGCATGTGTTCTTGCGGTTGGGTGAGTAAAAGTAGATGGCACAGTTACCCTTTCATGTGGCTAGTCATCCCCTTTGCTTACCAACAAAAAAAAAACGTCCCTGTTTAGAATATTTGCCCTGGTGCATATGTTTTGGTCGTTTGCACGTCAGGGTTAGACTACACCATGGACCAATGGACCGGAATGACTCTTGAATGTATAGGGATTCCGCCAGTTTCTATATCATTTTTACACTAGCCGTTTCTAACATGCAGCTGCTAGAGCGTCAATCCTATTGGACCGGGTTTCCCATCTTTCTTCTTTGAGCAACCTTTGCCACGAACATGGAAGCTGACTGGGGCTCTTGGAAGGCCTGGTGGGCGGCATGTGCGTGCGAGGAAACTTAGATCGTCAAGAAATCTCAAACAAGATACCACGAAAACACATGGTTTCAAGGCCCCCCCCATTTGGGCGCCCTTCGAAAGATTTACAACACCTGTATTTTCATGGCCAACTTGGCCGGGACCGTCGATGGCGCTACCGATGTTTGGCACCCTCAGAGTTGATGGTTTGTGTGCAATTGAAAAGGGGCCTGTACGTCTTCAAGAAGGTACCAAGCGACCCCCAAGAACATAGCCACGAAATACATCAGCCACTTTTTAACCCCGTCGTTTGCTGCCTTCTTTGTCATGCCAACCACGGTGCCTTCTGCATTTTGACAACCCTGCAGTTAGGATCTTTTTGGCCATGGCCAACAACATGTCGATGTGGTTTTGTTTAAGGGGAACCCTTCCAAATTATGGCGGTTTTCCTGTTGGTACCCCTTTCAAGCCACAAAACATGCTCACAAAAAAGGCGAGCCACCCATGTGGGGGTCCAAATCGCGGGCGGGAGGGCGGCCGAGTTTCGAGCTTCGTAGGAGATGCGCGATGCCATCACCTCGGGTGAGTTCGCCATCAGCCTCTCAGGGGCCAAGCTAGCAGCCACGGATTATCAGTCCCTTTGCGCCTTGGATCGATCCGCGTTCTTGGATGTTCTTGTTGGTCTCATTTGGTTGGTGCTTTTTGTTGAAGCTTGGCTGGTTGTTGGTTGTGTCAGTTGTGTCATTTTAAAACGCTCCCTTTACAATCACACTACCAACAGCCAACGGAAAGGGAGCGCTGGCAGTCTCGGGTTTGTCGTGCAAACCCGTTACTGATCCGCATCGATGGATGTCGCCTGGGGCCAACTTCAAGTAGGCCGTGTCATTCTCAGGGTTCTCGAAAGAACTCTTTTGCGATGGCAACTTAGAGGGCCATGTTGAACAGGTCACTTGATTGGAGCCGGATGGGTGCATCTTGAACTCCCAGTTGAAGATGGTTCCGATCTGCCACCGTTGAAACTAGGTCATGCGTGTATGGTTCACTTTGATGAGCCCATGAACGGACTTCTGGGAGGGGGATTTCGGCTCGAACACCCGGAATTTGTCTGCTGGTTCAGTGTGCCCTTGGAACCAGACTCCAAGGACTAAGGAATGGGGAACCTGTTTCCTGATGCGGGCCTCCCCTTGCTCCACAGGGAGCTCATGTTCGTCCGATGGTCCCCATGTAGCTGACTTACAAGGGAATAGTCCCATGTCCACGGGCTTCTGGGGCGAACCCTACTTTTGGGTTCCTAAGGAGGCAGCACATGGCCCCATATATAATTTATACATATATATATATATAATAACCCCGGCAAGACCATCCTAGGGACCTAGGCGTCACAGTCAGTCGGCCTTTTGTTCCTTGCCCTGAGCCTCTCGGAACACCTGGGCGGGTGGGGTGGGGGAGAGGCGGGATGCTGGCCACGTCGCTAGGCAGCCGCCTGCACGTGATGGAAGAGCGCTTGGAGAGGAAGGACGTGGGCTACGACGTCCTGCCGCCTCTCGAGGCGAAGGGACAGAATCGCAGCCGGACAGGTTTTGGCTCGTGTTTGCTTCTTCTTTTTTCTGGGGGAGGGGGGGGGTTGGAAGAAAGGAGGGGTCCGGAAAGAATGGTTAGGACCAAGTCTGCACCTTGGCACGCACG